CAATATTACGAATAATTCAACTTCCACTCGATAATGTCACCAGCCAATTAGATATAGTACATTCATATAAAAGTACCAGAATCTCCCAAAAAAACATCCAGCACGCATGAAACATCGAAAAACCTACCCAAAGGCCTATTATTTATTTCAACCCATTATACCCCAAGGCAATAGCAAAATCAACAGCAAATGTAGGCCGCCAAGCCCAAGAGGCGGCAGACAACTCAAGAAGTTCCCCCTAATATCGTGTAGTTAGTTATCTGCGAGCTGTTCGGTGGGCAAGCTTGATTGGTTGCAAAGGTTGCACGACTATTCTCCTCTCCTCCGTGCTCATGTGCAGTTAGTTATATTGGCTATTCCAACAAAACTCTGCTCCACTGGGCCATATTGCATGAGCAGCATCAGCATCATATCAATCAATCAATCAATCAATCAATCAACCCAACTGACAGACCCATCTCAGCCAATTTGTTTATATATATTTTTCCTTGTCGACATTATATGGATATATGTAACTCTGCAGGGAACACAGACTCAAGTTCACAGCAATTTGCAAGATCAACTAACTACAAAGGATCTCAGAAAAATACAAAGTGAAAAATGAAGGTTGAAAACCCCTGATGATGAAAATTATCGATTTAGCAGGATATTAATGAAGGACGAGTTGATCGAGTGGATGCTTCCAACAAATGTCGTCTTGATTCTACTCATACCATCCATCCATCCCGTTTACAATCTACGAAAAACTTCAGCCCAGTTTCATAATAAATATATGAACGACACTTTACATTCAGAGTCTGGAATGAAGAATAAAATATATCAAAAAAAAGGCTGTAATAAATTAAAAGAAGAATAAAATCTCACAGTTTGCAACACACAAAATGAACTGGAAACACAAATCAAAGAGAGAAGAAAAACACAGGGCGGGAGCTCCAACCCAACTAAATGTCAAGCCAAAAAGAAAAACACCGACCAACGTGACAGGGACAGACCAAACCAGGACAAAAAGCAAACCCAAAAAGAGATGAAAAGAATTCGTGCTCTGAATATCAGATCAGATCAGATCAAATGTGATGATATGAATGGCCAAGTCCCATGAAAATAAAGAATGCTTGAAATAATCCTGCACAAACTCACACACACGTACCCCATACACATGTTCAAGGCAAAACACGACCGACCAACCAGCCAAACCCTGCTTGGTAAACCAGATCAGATACACGGGCAAACGCAAACACTGAACACACCCATACACGCCATTCCAGATCCCCCACAGCCTAGATTTGCAACAAATTGATAGATAAGAGAGTGGTATGTAAAAAATTAACAGAAAGTACAAGAAAAAGTAAACAGGGCGATGTGATGCGATGCGATGTAATGCAATGCGCAGCAAGAGAGGTTGTGAAGAGGCAAACCCACAAGGTTGAAGGAAAAACCAACGCTAGATAGGATGAAGAAACAAAAACAAAACTCCAAAAAGGCCCAAGGTGATATCGGATCATGTCATAGCCCACACCCCGCCCTTTTTTGTCAAGAAACTGCATATATGAATATCGGAAATCATATATATGAAAAGAATCGAAGAGAGAGAACAAAACTTCATACCCAAACAGCAAAGTAACCGCTCATTCTATATGTATGTCATGATACGTTTTCCGATACCCTTTCTGGCCATCAGTTTTTACTTTTCGGCAACAAAATATTTCGTCAACTGCCTTTTTTCCATTTTCGCTGTCCGCATCGTAACCGTAGAGGGAGTGAGGGGATAATGGTTTTAACAACAAGGTAAAAAAGGAGAGGAAACGAACGAAGCAATGATGCAGAAGACGGGATATATCCATTTCGCATAGGCGCCGTTGCTCAAACACATGATCAAAAACTCAAACAAAAATATAAAAAGAGGGATGTATCGTCAGATGGTACATGGTATCACCAGGATAGAGTTTTGTAAATTGCAAATGTTGAGGAAAAATGTGGAGGAAATTCGAGGACGGCAGTTAGGACGTTTCATGTCATATGTACAAGTAGAGAGGAATTTCTATCGACGTGGTTGTGGTTGTGGTTGTTGGATTTTCGCATTGGCGGGGAAAAATATTATGGTTCAAAAAGGAAGGGAGTTCTGCGGATACGACTGGGAGGAAGTTTGACTTTTCCTTGTTTCTTCTGCTTAGGGGAGAGCAGGTTGGTTCTCAAAAGGGATATCGAGATGACATAAAACGACAGATTGAAAGAATTTTGGGAGAGCGACAACATATGGAGTTTGGGGAGAGATGAGAATTGACATGACCGATCGATGAAGCGTTTTCAGCAGCTTTTTTCTTCAATAATTTTTTTTTTTTTGTTGTTGTTGTTGTTTGTAGTTGTGTTCTACACTAGTCGGGGTTTGGGGGATCTTCACAACCGCTTAACAGGGAGGGCATCTACCATCTCTGCGTTGGACTCGACACACGCATGCCCGTACTCGGATTAACGATCGGAATAGCATTCCTCACCCTAACCGCAGAGGGTTGATGGATCTTCATCTGATTGAGACTATACCCAAACGCAGCAGCCGCGGATGCTGATGCATTCGAGATCGAGGCTGGGGAGAGTGAGATTGACGGTGTCACCTGTTGGGCGGGCTGAATTTGGTGCTGCAAGGGCGAGGAGTCGGGGGAGAGGCTTGCGAGAGAGGAACGATCGGAAGCGTAGGAGTGGATGGATTGGAGCTGTTTGTGAGAAAAGAGAGGATGTTAGGATACAAGAGTTTTCCAAGGATTGTGGTTTTGAGACATATTTCATGATGGGATGGAATGAAATAGGACATTCTATTGCTAGGAAGAATTGAACTTCTCACGTACATCGTCCTCTGTCAGGAGACTGGGACAGAATTCCAGGTCATCGTCGAGGTCGAAGGAGCGGCCTGCCTCGAAACGAGCACGGAAGGCAGATACTGCCGGTGCTTCAGATAGCTCCCTCATGCTTTTGACGCCTCGGAACTGGCGGTGGGAGGAGTTGTTGTTGTTGTTGTTGCTGCTGCTGCTGCCGTTGTTGTTGTTATTATTACTGTTGTGGGAGGACTTGTGGGAACGGCGGGATCGACCACCATGGTGAGAGTTGGAAGACGAGGCAGCAGCATGGGAAGAGGGAGGAAGGGGATGCTGCTGCTGCTGGTGATGTTGCTGGTGATGTTGCTGCTGGTGTTGGTGGTGCTGCTGGCTTGCGTGGTGGTATTGTTGCTGTGGCGAGAAAAAATAGGACGACATAGTGGTCATAGAGGGATGTGAGACCGGAATGACAAATTACATACAAGGAAAAAGGTGACTCAGGAGATGAAAGCCAGTCGATAGATGGATGGATGGATGGATGGATGGATGGATGGATGGAGGGAGGGAGGGAGTGGATGAGGTTACGAAGTTAATCGTTGTTGGGCGTTACGGACTGATGAAACTGGGGTGGAGCGGGGGGGGGCCGGGTGTGTGCCGTTTGGTGGTCGTTAGGAGCCGCGAGAGAGAGAGAGAGAGAGAGAGAGGGAGGGGGAGGGGGGTGTGTTGTGTCTGGAAGGCTGAGTAAACCAACCCAGTTTTTCAATCGTCAATGCCTCTTGAACAATCAGCAAGCACCAACGAAGCACCAACGAAGCCAAGAAGCCAAGAAGCCAAGAATTTTAAATGTGAAGGAAGAAAGCTGAAATTCTTTTCCAGCATCTAAAGCAAAGTATATTTATTTATTTAATATAGGATAAGAGAGAAGCGAACCCGAGGGTAATTCATTCAATAATAAATAGGAAGCAAGTTGTGTCTGCGTCATGAGGTTGGATGGTTTGACAGAAAGACTGGAGAGACTTGGGGGAAAGAAAAAGGCTGAGGGAAAACGGAAGAGAAGAAAGAAAAGAGAGAGGAAAAAGGGATCCGTGGGAGGCAGAAGTCGGAGTGTTGTTGTTGTGCCCAACCGCTGCATAGAGGGAAGTTGGAGCCGGAGGGCAAATCTGGATTGAGATCAAGTGACTGTGGCATTGCTGGTACCTCTGCGGTGTCTTTTCGCTGCCGCACGCCGCCGACAGTTACCTGCCAGGTACCTTTCCGAGCCACAACAACGAAGAGGAAGGCTGGGGCGGCCCCAACTCGCGACCCGCAACTGGTTGTGCCCCCCCCTCTGTCAAGACGTGGACTTGCATTTGTATGCCGCCGCCCACCAGTCTGCAGGTACCTCCCTCCCACCTTCTGCTGAGGTTTATGTGTACCCGAAGCATGTCTGCTAATCCCAAGTGGGTTAAGTGCAGTGCTGAAATATGGAGCCCGGTGCCTCGACTGGAACCAATCAACAGCGAGTACGTCGCCAAGTGGGTTGTTCTTGTGGAGACTTGCCAGATAAACTCTCCAGCAGGGCTTAAATTACAGGCTCAGCAAGATGGGTGTTTTTACAGTTACGCTCTGTGTATGTAATCTATGCAGCGATTTGGCGGGTGGCGAGGAGAGGACACCAACCACCCCCCCCCCCCCTCTCCTCCCCCTCCTCCAAGATGAGTGCTGATTGGCTGGGAGTTGCAGCAGGGTTCCCGGGCTTGGTGGAAGATTCATGCTCCGGGAACTGACTGCCTTATCGGAGTGAACAAGGTTATCACGGCATAAAAAGTACCCTTTGGAAACGGACATGGGGGTGATGTATCATGGATGGAACCTTCATGGCAGAGTGGATAGGGACTTGATTGGGAGTATTTTCGGGGTAATGACCCGTTGACTGGAACCTTGGTACCCTTATCATCGCCTGCCCCGCCACTTCTGTCAGGGCAGTTGTCAATGAACTAAACTAACTGCTAATTAGTTATCTATTAGTTAACTAGTGACTTAACTAGTTAGGTTTAATCAAGTTAAACCACCCATACGCTCCAGTTGGGCCCCTAACATTGGCCCCTTGGGGATGCGTCAGGTACCACCAACAAACACGGAACCATTATCAGGAGGATGTCGTCAAAGACTCAAAAGCAACTAACTGTACCACCGGGGGCCTAGCTTTCAAGCCTGGAATGGGGGAGAGAGCAACAAGAGAGCTCCCCAGCCAGACATCGGTCATTCTTCCGTAGATAAAATGTTCCCCGCACCACTAGCTATTCAGAAAACCTTCCCTAGAGTAATTAAAAAGGTCCAAGAGTAGGTAGGTTTGTTGTTATTCCTGATCCCTCGTCGCATGAAAGGAGGCTGGTCAGACACAGGCGGAGGTTGGGAAGGCCTGGTCCAGCGCGTCCAAGGTTTTATATATCCCTTTAGTTTACATCATAATCAATCATCTGTGCTTCTTTTAGAGTCAGGAAAGGGGGGGGGGGGTATTTATCGGAGCCAATTTTATGGAATATTCTCCTAATAGTTTACGGAGTATACCACGATGTATCTACGAAATGAAAACAGCGGCGGAAGTTCCATCTCCTTCTATGACCAGTCACGAACCAAAAATATGTAGTGGATGAAGAACAATCCCCCTACTGCAGATATTGCATATCACTAAATGATAAAGAGTAAAAAAAATAACCTCTCCCATCCCCGGGTCCCATTACGCCATGACCCAAATCCACACCTGCTTCAGGTGGTTCCAACCCAAACCCCGTAGCTATATAAATAGCACCAACAACCACCAGCCAACCAACCAACCATCTACCGCCCACCAACACCCGCAGCAAGCAACGCAGCAGCAAATACAGCAACAGCGACAAAAACCCTCCAATCAACCCAACCCCAGTCCCAATTTCCACAATTCATGCACAAAACTCAGTTTTGAAGAACCAACCTGCAGTCCAACCACCAACCAACCAACCAACCAACCAACCACCGGACTGGCGTTGAGACAAGCTTACCTCTCCAGAGAAGAGAGGCTAGCAAGGCCAGCTCATTTGCTTGGGGCTTGCTGCTGCATCGGTTTCGATTGGCCTAACCAATTTATCACGCTTCATCATTCGCTGGAAGCAGAGAAGGGATCGAAAACGCTGTTCCCAATCAAAGATAACTTCGGAAAAACACTCTGACATTCTCCAATCATTCCGCTGCACTGATTATTACTATCTCCATCCAACATCCGGGGGACATCCATGAATGTATTTGTATCACCGATATTTCAATTTTAATTATCTTTTTTAAATACTTTGAAACTTTTATAATTTATTTACTTTATAATTAATAAATATAATTAAACATAAAATCAAAATTAATTAAATTAAATAAATTAAATTAAAAATAAAATAATAAAACTAAACTATATATTTTATTAAACACATTTAAAAGTAAAAATAAAATTTATATAAAAACTCTGATAATAAATAATATAAGAATTATTAATTTTGTGAAAAATAGTTAAATTCTTATATTAAAATTTATTACTATATTTTTACAAACTAAGCAAGAAAAGACATAACTATTGTACATAAGCTTTAAGGTGCAGCCTCACAAAAGAGAAGCTAAGATGACCTTTTTCAAATGCAGTTGATATTCCTGTTTCTTGCACCGCGAATGCTTATTAGGGCGTCAACTATGCAGTGGTCGCTTGGATCTTCGGACCAATCATTTAATTAGTTACCTATCATTGGCCATGTCATGCAGGTTTTACATGGGCGACACCAAACCCAAGGGAAGCGCATCTATTTTGATAACACTGCAACAGAGCTGAGACGTTGAGCATGCCACTTTCTCTGCGGAATGCTGCCCCATGGCGCATTGTTTGATCGAGTTTGGCCATTGCCTTGGATATTGATTCTACAAATTTTCTTTCGTTTCGAGATTGTTCCCCTACCACCAGATGCCGAGCTTCCCTCGAACATCTTGCCATGCCATGCCATGACATCACGCGAGGGGTTTTCCTTCCACTTTGCTCGATTCCTTTCTCCCTCGCTACAAATCCCAATCCAACCTCAAAAAACATATCTCTATTCCGTACCACAAGTTTTAGTCTTCTTCATCTTGGGCAAGAATCAGACACCATATATCCTTTGACGATGTGGATCCCACACCGCCCGTCGAAGCCCCTGAAAAGCTACTCAAACCGGGATGCAAGCGTGATGACATCCACCACGCCATCTGAAAGGAAAGATGTCGAGGGGCATGACAGGCGCAAAGTGAGCGAGGAAAATCTTCGCCCTGTATGTAATTGTGATTACTAGATTCACATGGTCTGCCAAGAAGACAGAAAAACGGAGGAGTGCACCTGAAGTGGAGATGTGGAGAGGGAGGTGCAAAAGGGGGAAGCGTGAGACGAGGGAGGAATATTGGGAAGATGGAAGAGCAGCAGCGACATTATATTATATAGATTTCTGGCACGCGTCGATGATGTTGGGCTCAATAATTGCAGCTAGGTCGAAGCACGCCAAACCCGAAGAGGCGACGTCAATTGGCGGGGGGTGGGCATTCGGGAATGCCGCGAACTTCACCGTCCGATGGTTATACTTTCAGCTTGTGGATGTATTAAAACCTCTTTAGTTTACACGCCTGCCGATCTTTCTTTCCGGGCTGAAATGAGATTCTAATATATCTATATACTCAGCTTCATAGTATTACTCTCTGATACTTCCCATGAATCTGAGTTATTCTATACTCTTTATGTCTAGAATTGTGAGGCAGTTAGAACTTCAAAGCAGCAGTTATCAGTTTGATTAAAGGATGTCAGCTGAATCATGCACAGTGCTGCTATCTTGGCAAGGAAAAATAAAAGCTTGGAGCTTGTGAGAACGCTTGATGTGAATGGACCAAGTGTCAAAAGAAAGCATGAGAAGCACTATCACTAATATCATAAGAGAGTAGAAGAATAGGTGCTGAGAGCACCGCGAAGTGAAGAGAAGAGTGATGGGTGAAAATATAAATGTTGGATTAAATAATAGCTAATCACTGCATCTCTTAAAAGCAACTCAGAGAAATTCAGAGTGTTTATATTCATGAATAGATAATAATAGATTTCACCTCAGATAATTTAATTCTTCATGAAATGAGAAAATGGCATTGTGAGATCATCTGATTCTTCATGAAGTGTCTCAGATAATAACAGTGTGAGGGCAAGGTGCTAGTATAAGTCTTGACATTACAGAGCTGCAGTTGAATGAAAAGTATAAAAAGAAGCAAACTCTTACATTTTGTAGCTCAGAATAAAGCTTTAGCAGCTTCATATACTGCAGCAAAATAATGTAGTTGATCATACTGTCAGAATCTATCAACAAATCTAAGAAATAGATCTATATAAAGTTATAATGAAAAATCCTAGTTTGATGATTACTTAATTTTGCAATTTGACTGAGTTTGAAATGAGAGATTATCCACTTAGTGATGTTATCTGCTCAGAGAAGACAACTGGTTAAATAAGGATCAGACAGCGTAGGTGAAAAATGTTAGAGTCTGTCAATGTTGACGATCTGTTGAACAATTGCTGCTCACTACGAGTTTGTTTTGGCTATTTCATATTTAATTTGTTCTAAGGCTGGAACTCACTCGCGGCAGCAGCGCCATAATAAGTTGATGTCGAATTACAAAAGCTGAGGTGCAACGGGACTCGCGGCAAAACCCTTTATAAATACGGTATATAATATGGTATTTAAGACGCGGCAATTGATAAATGTTGATTTTATTCCCAAGCTCTGTGTCAGCGGAGATCTCTCCCTCACTTATACATACACTTGTTCATACCCAACCATCTTCAATCCCGTCTACACTTAGAAGCAAGTTGGGTTGAGATGAGAGAACAAAAATGAAATATTATCTATGAAGTTAATCTTATCACAGGTCAGCCAATTTCTTTTACTGGCAGTTAAATACATTGTGTGAAACTGAGGGCTCTATATCTTTGAAGGGAAAGAAAGGAGGCGGAGGCGGAATGGATCAAATCCAAGTTTCGGGTGAATGTCAACGGTATTGAATATATGAATTGAAAGGGGAATGGGAGGGGGAAGTTCTAGGCTATTCATACTTGGTTTTTCCCCTTTTAGAGGATCTGAGACTGGAGCGTCGGAGATGTGTGTCTTGAATCTGGGGAGTCTTATGCATCTCAGCTTTCCGTCGATGTGAGGCCGGAGACTTTCGAGGAGGGTAGTTGTGTTTGGGAGGGTGGGTTTAGTTTCTGGGATTGGACGATTCGAGTCACATGTGTTGAGCATTGATGGGTTGCTTCATGTTAACGTCCACGTGAGGCTTGGGTATGCGTCTTGAGCGACCTCGGCAGATAGTCATTGGAGGTTCTGGTATCTGATATGCGGACGACGCGTTTCAACATATCTTTTAATTTCTCTCGGTTTAACTGGCCCAGTCCCTATGAAGAGTTCCTATTTTCAAGGAAATCGAGAGTCGGACTGTAGGAGTATGTCCCAAATACCTCCATTAACAGAACCGCAAAATACAGGGTAGAGTCTGCGTCCTCGTTTTCTCGACAATATCATTTATCAAGAGCCAGCGCCTTCACATATCGTGCAATCTGCTCGCGACATGCCTTCTCGCTATACTGCTCCCAGGCCTCATACAGAGAAACAAGCTCCTGCGTACAATCAATGACCGCTTCAATGTTGACCTCGCCCGTCGAAAGCCAGTCAATGACCTTCTGGATGCGAGGAGGCATACTCGCCCCTGACTGCTTATCACCAAGTGAGGCCAGTGCACCCACTCCATCCCGTAGTACGGTAGAGGCTGGAGATGCTCCTGTAAGATGGGCACAGCTTGCGGGGTTTGTCTTGAATACCACCGCGATTAAAAGGGCAGTTACCGCAATCACGTGCGGTGGCTGGAGAAGAGGGAGATCAGTTAGATAGTGGTCATTAATCACTGACCATGCCAGCGATACTTCTTCCGATGTTAGAGATAGTGCTGTCTGGATTTCTGACAGGGTGCGGTAGGGGTGATGAACTATCAACTGCGAGTTCATTTCTGAGATGAGCCAGAACTCGCATTCACCCAGCTTGGAAATGTCGGATACGATGTAATCTGCTCAATATAGGCTTAGTAAGATAGATAGCTCCACATAAAACTGGGTGAGAACTACCAACCTGGCCATAATCCTTTTGCTTCACTCACGACAAAGCGAATGTGCTGGGGACATTCCTCCATCTTGCATGCCAGATAGAAAGCGGTGGTAAGCACCAGATACGGATTGGTCCGTCGGATTTCCACCTTGGTGTAGAACCTCCTGATATAGACTTGTGCCGTTGCAAGCGCCTGCTGACGAATTGTCATCCGTTTCCCCAGCCTGACCAGCTCTGCGGCGGCGATGTTGCACTTTGTCAGCTTCAACGATACCAATACCCGGACCAGGTGGCAACTTGCATCGGAATAGGAAGTCATACGTAGATTGATGTAGATGCTAAAGTACCTTAGATCAGGAAGCGGGAATTGTTGTATCAGTTGTTTCTCGCCTTCGTTGAGGGATTTCCTGATGTCTGCCAACCGGTCTCGATCGAAGAGCCAGTACCGGCGCTGGGTTGACACCCAGTAATTGGCTGCCATTTCTAATTTGAGGCAGAAGCGGCCGAGAAGGACGTTGGTGAAGCTCGTTTAGTTACACATGCTTGATATGGTGGAATATTGAGCAGCAATGACTGAATGTCTCTCTGGGCTGAATAATGAATCAGAAATGAACTGCTTTGACAGAGATTCAAATACGATGCTGTCATCATGTCCACAGTAGAATTCTCTTCTTCATCATTTCGAATTTCTTCGTTGACAAAATACCATCATCCTAAGGTTTGATGAACGTTGATGTTTGTTAAGCGCTCGCTTGTGTCGGCAAACTGATCGCCAAGTATGTGTGACGCCGAAACTCAGTCTAGCGCCAAGCGCAATCCGTTCTGCTGCGCTCAACCTCCTCATATGACAACTTTTGATGCTGTGTTCTATGCCTTAAACCGTTTTCTACCCACGTACATTTTCATAGTATATCTACCTCTCATTTCTGATGTTTGGCCTTCTTCTGTCCGTGCAGCACCCGCATTTATGCGGGAAATTTGGTAGTGGATGTTTCCTTTGTGACCGTGTTATCCTGTTGTAAAATCCCATCCCAATATTGTCACCAACTGTGACACAATGGGAGTAGGGTCACAGCACGATCGCGACCAGCGGGTTGCGAGGCTCTGGGAAATCCTCGATGCCCGACATGAGGGCCAAATAGACCTCAGGGGATTTAAAAAGGGCCTGAGGAAAATGGATCACCGTATGTTTCTTTCCGTTCCACCGCTCCGCCATTCTTCTCGTTTCTCGCAGTTGTGTAAATTGGCACCAATATCAACCTCTGCGTATACTAACATATATATAGCGCTTAAAAATGCAGATTCCCTCGTAGGAGATGTCCTTGCAGATGTGGACACCAGCGGAGATGGGAAGATACAGTTCAATGGTGCGAAAATACATAATAGTCCCCGCGGTGCAACACTCCCCTCTCCCCTCATTATCGGTCTAAAATACCCACTTTTTAGAATTCCAAGCTTTCGTCGAAAGGGCTGAAAAGGAACTCTGGCGATTATTTGAGTCTATTGATCATGACCACAACGGACACCTTGACAAGGAGGAGCTGCGAACTGCCTTTGCGAAGGCCGGCCTTACCGTTCCGAAGAAGAAGCTGGACGAGTTCTTTACCGACGTCGATTCCAACAAGGACGGCGTAATCACTTTCGATGAATGGAGGTATGTTATATAACTTCTTTTATAAAGTCTTTTTTCAATCCAAGTATCTAATGCGCAACCCAACAGGGACTTCCTTCTATTCCTTCCCACCAAAACCTCCAACCTCCGGGGCCTTATATCCTATTATAGCACCCTTGGAAACCTAAACCCGGAAGGAGATGTGCACATAAATAAGCCTATCCAGGGATCAGGTACGGAGCCCTCGTTTCCAAAACCCAACCTCAACCCCGTCGCGGATTTTTTTTTCAAATCATTTTCCATATTCCCAAGTCGGACACCACAGTGACCCAGCTAGGTTGCAAGACCCAGAACACGCACTCTCAATACTACCACAGTCTAGAGGCAATTCCATTTCTCACTGATGATGAGCTGGAGTGGCTTGTCCTCCCTACCGCCGTTTCGCTTTGGTTGTGTTATCAAACTTGCGCACAGGTATTGACCGAGAGCACACCCCAAATAGGTTACTTTCTTGCCGGCGGAATGGCTGGATGCGTATCGAGGACAGCCACGGCGCCACTCGATCGTTTGAAAGTTTACCTCATTGCCCAAACCGCCGTTAAGGACACCGCTCTTAGCGCTGCCAAGTCCGGCCACCCGTTGGAAGCTCTCAAGAGGGCGGGGATACCTCTCGTTGAAGCTACCAAGGACTTGTGGCGTGCTGGGGGAATACGGAGTTTGTTTGCTGGTATGTTCCTCCGGGAACCCCCTCGTTTCATTTTTACTGACATTGATGTTCTAACTGGTCTAACTAACTTCTTAGGGAATGGTTTGAATGTCGTCAAGGTCATGCCAGAATCTGCGATCAAATTTGGCGCGTACGAAGTGAGATTAGCCGGTTTTTCTACACCTTTATCGCTAGAATGTGTGATGTGCTAATATAGTTCAGGCTTCCAAACGTATACTAGCCAACCTTGAAGGGCATGGCGATCCAAAGAATCTCCTCCCAACTTCGCAATTCTTGGCGGGTGGTATCGGAGGAATGGTTTCCCAGTATGTTCCTTACAGGCTTATCCAATCTTACTAGATGTTGACTATGTCAGATGTTTTGTCTACCCGTTAGATACCCTTAAATTGTAAGTCTTCTCTTTTTTAAGAGCGAGGGTTTTTTAACCTTTATTATATGCATAATGCTTACCCTTTCGCTAGTCGCATGCAATGCGAGACAGTCGAAGGAGGATTACACGGCAACCGCCTCATCGCAGCAACCGCCAAAAAGATGTGGACGACGAATGGATTTCACTCCTTTTTCCGCGGTTTACCTCTGGGGCTAATAGGAATGTTCCCGTATGCCGCAATCGATCTCATGACCTTCGAGTACCTAAAAGTCACCCTCCTAACCCGCAAGACAAGATTGTATCATTGCCATGAAGACGACGTACCCCTTAGTAATTTCACCACTGGGGCTATCGGAGCGCTGAGTGGCGCTCTCGGTGCGTCAATAGTTTACCCGATGAACGTCCTCCGCACACGACTGCAGGCACAAGGCACTGTCCTGCATAGCCCGACGTATACTGGCATCGTCGACGTAACGCGCAAAACACTACGAGCTGAAGGCATACGAGGCCTATTCAGAGGGATTACTCCGAACTTACTGAAGGTCGCGCCGTCTGTATCGATTAGTTATGTCGTGTACGAAAACTCGAAACAGTTATTTGGTGTATCTTGAGACAGCTATACAACTGTACACCTATATCACCCCTACTTTAGGGCCACGGCATAGCGGGCCCCGTATACTGCATACTCTAACCTTCAAACCATCCTTTTCTCCTGTCTTTGGCATTTGTGCATATCATGGTGATATTATGATAACCTCTTGAGACACATAGTGAACCTCACCGTTTGCAAACTTTTTTTCAGTTATCCTTTCTATGCTCATTCTCTCATTTTGCGTTTCGTTTCGTTTGCCACCTTGTATCTCCCCGTTTTCCTTTTCCTTTGGTGAGAATACCCTAACCGTACCTCTTTTCATTCTCGGTTCATGTTCTGCTTTTGCATAGCCAGAGGTGTCTCGGCGAGTCGACTTATCTCCCCAATTTCTTTTGATGTACTACTGTATGAAGGATTTTCTAAATTTCCTCCTAATTTCCACAAACACATCATCCCCATCATCGCTGCATATTTTAGCATTTTATAATCTGTGTATATGCACAAAGCCATTATGTGTACGGGCCAAACAAATTACCTTTGGAATACCCAAAATCTAGGAGAAGCTGTCCTGGATTTCTGTTGCTTCTACTTTTGCTGCCTTTCCTGCTACTTTATTTTCGTTCACCTATTTCGTTTCCTGGTCTAAATATACACCCCGATTTTTCTTTTCTGTATGATGCACGATGAGAAACATGAAATTCACATATAAAAGAGAGATTATTGGTTTCTTTCACTACGGCTTCGTACCTATCCTCAACCACTGTGTATAGCCTCTTGTTATTTTGTTCCTCTACTTTCTTAGATTCGTTTAGACTACCGAAGTAGGTTCTAACCAGCTATCTTCTCAAAGCATCTAATCCGTTTTCCATTCTTACTTAGAAATGATTAAGGTGGCCGACAGACTTATCCGTTCATCCTATGATGCTCTAGGGTTGAACACTTCCACATCGGCAACCTATTGAATCATTGGATTTACAAGAGGGTCCTGGGCCTAGTAAGTCTCCATTATCATCTTCCGTCTAAGATCTAGATTTAGAAAGCAGAGTTGAACTTCAATAAGCTGGCCTATCCCTTCCTTTGATTTTGGTGGGTGGGATCGTATGGGTTTTCAAACAATAGGATTTGGACAACAAGCCCTTTATTAGAGTATATATGTATTAGAGAGGCTGGTCCCTTAATGGCCTATTACTGACATAATAAACTTAAAAGAATGTAACGCATACATTCTGCACAGAGATCCAGGTTCGTACTGTCAATTACACGCACCATCCACTAGTAGAAGCCCGGAACCTAAATAATTTCCTCCCCATCCACCACGCCAAACCACTTCAGCCCCAGCCCCTCTCCTGTCCACCCCGCTGCCAACACAACTTAGAAGTAAACTTTTTCCCCTTACCATCACTTCTTCACCGCCATAACAGTCGCGACCTCCTGATCCTTCGGCAAGATATCCGGCAACGGCCCTACGGGCGTGATGCCAAACTGATTAATCTGCGTATGACTCTTAGTATAATGTTTCTTAATATGCTCGAACTGCGTCGTGTCGTGAAAAGCGGGAATATCCCAGTACAGATGGCGCAGCCAGCGGTGAAGTGCAGGATACCCGGAGCGGATGTCACGGATATTTGTCTTGAAATGCTGTACGTAGACTGCGTCGAAACGGACGATGGTGGTGTATAGGCGGACGTCTGCTTCGGTGATGCTATCGCCGAAGTAGTAAATTGGTGACGTTTTAGAGGAACTAGCATCGAGTCTTGACTGGAGGTGCGATTCAATGCGGTCGAGGGAGGTGAAGAGGGTGGTCATGGCTTTCTCGTAGGCTGATTGGGTTCTGTAGGTTGTTTACTCAGGGAATTAGAAAAGACTTTTTTAGTCCTCACGATTTGTGGACGTGGTAATCATCTTTTGTTGGGGAGTTGCTCACGTTGCAAATCCGCATTTGTATACACCGTTATTCACATCATTATACGTCCATTCATTCGTCTCTTCAATATCCTTCCGCAAATTCTGCGGCAACAAATCAACCTTTTTATATTTCTCTGGCAACAAATCGTCGAACTCATGGTAAAACATGCGAATGATCTCGGAGCTCTATTGAAACGAGCCCAGTTAGCCCTACATCTTCCAGATACCAAATAGACATATGTAACTCCCATCTAATAGTTAGATCAGTTAATACATACCTCATTACTCACAATCCTTCCCGTCTTGACATCATAGAGCGCAGGCACCGTAAATCTCCCCTTATACTCGGGATCAACTTTGAAATAAATCTGCCTGAGATGCGTAAAGCCTTCATGAACTCGGTCGGGCCTCACGTTCTCGCCTGGTAAATTTTCCTCGGGGGTGGCGAACCGCCAACCCCTGTCACCCAAGTGCCAATGCACAGCTGTGAAGGGAATTATATCTTCCAAGCCTTTGAGCTTTCGCACAATGAGAGTCCGGTGGGCTATATTTTACACCCAATCAATCCAAATCCAGCATTAGCCGCCAAACAATCGAAAGGGTTTGGGTTAAGTTATTATAAAATAGACAAGACTACATACCCCATGGACACGCATATGAGACATAGAGATGATACCGGCCTTTTTCTGGTGGGAATTGCGCCCCAGGCTCCCTGGAAATCCAATTGCGTAACGCAGATTGCTCGCGTTTGAATTCGCCAGTGGTATCAGAAGGACTGACCCAATTGGTAATTTTATCATCCTTGACGGTCTGGGATAATGGAAAACGATGTTACTATTAGTGGTGGGTGATGAAATAAAGGAATATTGGTTATAATTTACCGCCATATCTGCTTTTGCTGTTGTTGAGAACTGATGGGATGTTTGGGATAGTGATGACGAAAGTGGCGTCGGATCAACAATTTTCTGGTTTCTCCCTAGAAGTGCTAGAAGTTGTCGTGTTCGAAGGGGAGAGAACATGGAAGAGAGCAAAAATCAAATCCTGATAGAGAAAGGAGATTTTATGAGAGACACATTCAACGCACAAGAATATGATTCAACTAACACAAAGAGGAGGAAATGTTGAATGATGAACGGGTAGACAAGTTGAACGATTTATTAATTGAGCTTAGTTTTTAAAATTATAATTAAACTTTAAGAAATCTTGTTTAAATAAATAGCATATAAGCTCTATTTATACTACTTATATTTCTATTATATTTTTATCTAATCTCATCAGAGATAATTTAAATTATAATTATAATTAATTAAAATATATAATAAATATAACTAATAAAATTATTATTAAACACATTAAATTTAATAAAATATATATATATATATTTTATTAATATTATTATAGACTTTTAACTATAATTTTTTATTATATCAGTATAATTTTAGTATAAAATTCTTTTACAGTTAGTTAAATATATATAATATTTATTACATTCCGATGTGAAGAAACAACAGTAAGTTTTATTAGAATATTAAAGATGAAAAAAAAATATATAAACAGAGAAAGCAAATTTATATAGAAAAATACTATAGTTTTATTTTCAAGCTGAGCTGTCTTATATTTAATTTTTATATTTTATTTTAATATAATTATGTTGTAATATAATAGATATTATAATTAAGTTCTTTATTATAAAATATTTTTATTACTTTCTCACTAATTTTATCGCTTTTTAATTTTATTGAAGAATCATTTATTTCTCATAAGTAAAATTGATAAGAATAGAGAAAGCACAATGAAACATTATAAAACTTACAATACCTTTCTTTCTAGGCTTTCTTCTGCAGCTAGTCAAATATCAATCAAATTCACTTCAACTCATCTACACCTTCATCTCAGCATCCTTCTTCGGCTTATCCACCTTCACACTTACATAGGGGACATCGACATCTTCATCAGTGTCATCGCGTGCCAGGAATTCAAAGATAACATACTTCTGATGATCGGGGATAGCCTTGTCGCTGACAGATTGAATAAGCTCACTCAACCTATTTATCACGCACATTTAGTTAGCAAAACGATATTCACAATAAAATGATACGAGCAGTGATACCGGAGGCCAACAAAAGTGGAGGAAAGGAGTAGAAAACATACTTCATCTGCAGCCGCTTCTTCATGACCTCAGGGCCTTTATTAAAGACCGGATACAACAAGCTAACCCCAGAACTAATCATGTTGATATCCAATCCATTCTCCTCCTCACAGCTCTTCAAGAAGTCCTTGAGCACAACATCATCCGCTTCGAAGCGATCCCAGAGCTTGTGGAACCAGATCTCGCGGCCCTTATGATGATACTTGTCCATGGGACTTTTGATCGGGTCGATGAAGCTGAAAAACGGAAGTGCAAGATTTACAAAGCTGTTCTTGTATTGATCCGCATCTGGCTTGCCGTCAATGATCTTGTACAGTTCAAGGATCACCAGGCCCGTGACCAGTGCGGTTGTCGTGGCGATGGCAGGGATAATCTTGCCTGCGATAAACTTGGTCTTGTGTCGATCAGCCTGTTGGATGTCGTAGTTTGCGGCACGTAGGTTGCTGGCTGCAGTGATGAAATCAATGTGATGGTTGGTATCATCATCCTTCTCGAATTCAACGACATCCAATTGGAATCCGGCGAGGGAGCCAGGTGGTGGGAGGGCAGCGATGGAACGCTGCAGTTCCTCCTCGTCAGTGAAAGCCGATTGTGCATTCGGGTCAGGTTCATTTTCATTAGCTTGGATCTTTACAGAGGAACTAGGTGTAAATTCGGGAATGATCATGTCATCAAGAACTTTTCGATAATGACCCTTATCCACTTCGAGGCTCTTGATTCCGTAGTTGTAGGCATGAAGGTTCGCAGCGGCTACAATGAAAGCAAAATGGGTAGGGTTGGTGGCATCGAATTTCAGTGGGGTGGGCGCACGCTTTGGGCCAGACCAGAAGGGAGTTCCGCTTGACGTAACTGAGTCTTTAGGGAAGTTATATAAGAGTTGCTGAATTGCGTTGTTGAAGTTGGCTTCAAACTGGTTACGAGCCCAGACAATGCAGTCATCGAAAGTGAGAGGCTTGTTAGTGACGAGGAAACTGTGGATAATTTCCAGCGTCTGTTTCTCATTGCCAGACTGCTTCAGGGTCGTTTTTAAGAAGTCTGGCTGAGAAAGGTATAGATTTACAGATTCTGGAGGTCCAACGAAGCTTGTCTGGAACAACTCTCGCGCCCATGCAATCGTGTGCTCTATTCGGTTCGGAAAACTCCTTAGCGTGCACATCGGGAACGACTGTTCGGGGGGATCCTGAGAACTAGAGTATGACTCGGTGAGCCAGGGAAGGATAACCTGAGTATTCCCCTTGGTACCCAGCGTTCCGCTCTCAAGCAGTGGTTTCTGGAAAAACACACATCGTCGATCAACATATGTTCGGGCTTCAACGTTATCCAGGGCATTTGTTACACCGTCGAGCTCCTCCCAGAAATCTTCGTTAAAAATATGCTCAGTGTGGACACCAACGCGATCTCGCAGGGATACAATTTTCCCCTGAAGTTCGGGGTTCATCGCCTGTACAGCCCTTGCAGCAGTGTCACTCTTCGGCAGGCCAACGTCCTTAGGCCGGAACAAAAACTGTCTGTTCAAATTGCTGGTCTCAATCTGATCCATATCCGTCACAGTAATCTTGCCATGCTCGCCAGTTCCCAAGCCAATCATAGCCCAATTCTTAAGCATTTCACAACCGATCGCACCAGCACCAACAAGGAATTCATTAATTTCGGAAATATTCTTCTGAAAGGTTTTACCAAACACGGCAATTTGGCCATCGTATCGGGTTCCCAGCGGAGCACATTCTTCCTCAGACCGCGAGACCGATGTGGGGAGTGATTCCAGAGAGTCGAAATAGTACCACTGAACGACAGGATGGAATTTGCCAGAGACAGCTTTGAGAACTTCCTGCGCAGCAAGGCCACCAAAGAAGGCTGCCATTGGACTCAGATCTCCCTGTGCTTGGTAGCTGAGTTCCTTGAGGAGTGCTTCGTCAACTTCCGTTCCAATGCTAGAGGCAATCTTAATGACTTCCTGGGCATCACTATCACTGTGAGGTCGGGGGAATTTTCCACCATGATTCTCTGCGAATTTGTGAAGTGCTTGAATGCCAAGATGGAGCTTAGCCGGGCGATCAGCCTTCATAAAATCGGTAACGAGAAATTGGGGGTCCTTAAGCTGCTGTTCTAAGGACTTGAAGTGGAGCGTCTTGGGCATCTTGACTTGAGTATATATGCCGCCGCTGTGATAAGTCCCCAACCCAGAAACATCGCCAATGGAGAAGGTGTATGGACCTTTAATGTCGACTTTACGAGGTTCTGCGTTATTGAGCTTTTCCATACCCTTGACCTCAGTAAAAGTGACGTAGTCATCTTCTCCTAGTCCGTGCCTAGTCTCATCAGAAGCAGACACAAGTCCCTCCTCGGTAATCCCAGCAACGATACCACTCGTAGGATCTTCTCCGGTGGGGTCTACCACTGTGAAATTCTCCCCGAAGTCGGTGAAAATGTAGCCAAATAAACCAAATGTGTCCGTAATAATGACATAGATATTATTCTGATGACAATATTCGGCGATCACAAGCTGGTCCCGCAGAGGTGTGCTCGTCAGAACAACAACCTGATATTTTTTGAGCTGCGATAGATCCTCTGTCAGACTCTGCGTACCAAGGACATGCACAGGTGTGTATGCGTTCAGCTCTGCAACACGGGAGGCCGTAGCTTGGTCACGGGGTTTGCCTATATCTTGCGGGGTGAGGAAAAACTGCGAAGAGAGGTCGGAGATAGCGGTAGGGATAGGATCGTAAAGGGTGAGGGATTTGACACCGGCAAGGGCCACATTTTTAGCTATCACAGACCATTAACAGAAGAGCAACACTGTGTTAAAAGGCAAATATATGGAAACATACAGATTTCAGCACCTAAACCCTTGAGCCCGACAATGAGAACATTCGAAGTTACCATGCGCTTCATAGCTTCATGGCCAAGGACGTACCTAGGTGGGAGGACGGCATCAGCACCAACACCTACTTCTTCAAAGCGGTACGTGTTCAAAGTCCTCATGACGAAGGAAAGATATCTCTTACAGTTGTCGACTGTACAACGACTCATCGATCTCCGGATCTGTGGACATATCCACGATTTCTTGGGAGCTGCTCTGCATAGTGCTGTTCTAGAAGTATAGTTAATCGTGTTCGAGTCAGCTGTATTCATGGAAACAAGAAAAGAGGAAACAGAAAATGAGTCCTGCCAACTTTGCAGAAAAATATGAGTGGCTTTTATACATTAAACCGAAAGTTTTTGTTAAAATTGAATATAAAGTCTGTAAGCAGTGAGCAGCACAGTCATGCCAAATGTATATAGCTCGAGTCAACTATTTGGGGGCGGCCTCGCACTTTGACGTATTTATTCAATCAAACAGATGGCCCATTATTCACCTCGTTTTCACATTTTCTCAATCATGCACGGGGAACATAGACTATATATATTTGAATTCCAAAAAAAAAGGAAAAAATACATACCATCAAGATCTTCTTTTCAGGCTGCTGTTGGCTGGAGTATTTCTGTTGAGAGTCTTCACCTGTGGAAGCTTTTCGTTTCCCCAGCTTCCCAGTCCGCTCCGGAATGACAGCGTGGGGCAGAATTGTGAATGCTGGCAAGCAAGAGAAAGCCTTGTTCTCGAAAAACAAGGCTTTCCTTTCACGATACAAGGAACTTTCGATGTTTTGTTGAGGTTGTAGGCATGGGGGTTATAGGCGATATGTAATGAGGGTGATGAAACACGGTGAGGGGCAGACTAGCCTCGATGGAGTTTTGACAGCAACCAAGCAATATACTGGCGCTGGAAAGATGATATCTCCGGAAGACTGAAAGGGGAGCGAAGGTGCCTAAACTGTGTAGCGGGATAAGACCTAATAGATAGATAGAAGAAGCCGACGCTAAAGAGGAAGAAAGACAAAGCTGGCCTAATCAACAAGAGGTTCCAAGGATGAAAATGTCCTCTTGCTCAAAGGCATTAGCCGTTGCCCCGGGCGCCACCCCTCGCCGCACGTGATCGCACATAGTGTATAGTCAGCTAATACAACAGTCACTATAAAATTAATTCCTCACCAAGTAAACATCATAGTCAAATTCAAATATCTTAATTACCTCTAACTCATTCACTTCAATGTGCTATGACACCATCAAATTTACAATAAAATATTTTTCAAATTCTCTTGAAAAAGAAGAAAGACTTGAACTTATAATAAATGCTATTAAAATATGAGAAATGTTTTCAATTTCTAAAATTATATATTTATATGAGTTTTTTTTACTTAACTTTTGTTTATAAAACTCAATAACTGAACTACATAGATGAATTTATATTCAATTTCATAAAATTGACTGAGATTGAAAAGAATAGTTTTTTGAATAAATTTTAAATCTAAATAAATAAAATTATTTTATATCAATATTTATAAAGAATATAATAAATTAACTATTTCTTTCAAGTTGAAAAGAATTTAAGTTTCAAGATTAGTCAATTATTGTTAGTTAATAGTTACATTAACTAACTATCTAGTTACAGAACTTCCGTGCTTAATTTATTACTTTAAATATTACAATCTCTTTTCATAGCTGATCAACTTTTAAAAATCTTTAAATATGTTGGTTTTAGATCTACAATCAAAGCTCATATTCAATGCACAAAATGTTAAAAGTAAAAATATTTTATAGAAAAGGACAACTGTTCTATAGCTTATGAAATATGTGTAGAAAATCATAGTATAAAAAGATCATACTGATTTTATTTGCAATATTGAGAGTAAGTTTTGTCTTTGACTGCATTTACTTACAATAAATAATAAGAACAATTATAATTATTATCTCATTCAAATTCCTATTCTAAATACAGAAAGGAAAAAATCAACAAAAATCTTTTCTCATCTAATTTATTCATCATATTTTGGCAATTCAGAAGCAAAAAAAAAAAGAAAAAAAAAAAAGGGAGAGAAAGAAAAAGGAGAGAAAGAGTGAAAGAGATCGAGGGAGAAAAAGAAGAGAACAAATCATCTCCCTCATGTTCATTACCAGCCCGCCAACGGCAACGTCGACATCATCGGCCCTGACATCGCCTCATACGACCCAACGCAATTACACTACCCCAGACTCCTCAAAGCCTCCTGTTCCCTCGGACTCAACTGCACAAACATCTCCTGAAATCTTGGCGTTCCAGCAACCTCCCTGAAAAACTCCATCAAAAAAGCCAACGTCTCATCATCTCTCTGTCTCACCGCAACACCACCCCTAGTACCATCCTCACAAATATACCCCATAAGTTCCTGCTTCGTAATCCCAAGCCCCAAATCAAGCACCCCTTGCCCAGATGGTGTAATATCCTCCCAGTCATCATTCTCATCATCACTATCCGTCTCATCAAGATTCCCTCCCGCCCCGCCAGCACCAGCCGTAACAGCAGCGGCACCCGCGGCACCCATCTCCCTGGTTCCCGCCGCTGACACAAGCTCCTCAGCCAGAACCTTAATGATCTTCAAAGGCGCAGGGACAATGGTATACTGGTCCGGATCCCTGCGCGACTGCGAGCGCGTCTTGATCCTCCCCGTATCCTGGATGATCAGATCCCCCTTAACCTGCACCTGCGCCACGCGCGGGTCATCAAGTTGATAAATCTTCGCCAATGCAACAACGTTCTGCCGTATCTCATCGTACCCAGCGAAATTTATGCTGTTCTCAAGCCACTTGGAGAACACAACTGTCAGTCCCGATTCGCCATCGATCGTCAGCGTGGAGAGGAAATCGACTACCTCCCCCGGACTGACGAGGGATAATCGCGCAAAGACGAGGATGAGCGATTGGATGAACTGCGCCTTTTGCGCCGTGGCGAGGCGTTGAGCAACCGCGCGAAGAAGTTGGGTTAAATATGGCCCCAATTTCTCGGCGCCAGCTTTCTCGACTAGTTCAGCGGCCAGCCCGCCCACTTCTTCAGCTGCGTTGTCATCTACGGATTGGCTGAGGAGGTGGTCGATGATGATTAACACGACTTCGATGGCGCCCTTGCCTGTTTGTGGATCTTGCCAGGTTTGAAATTGCTGGGAGTCATGTTGGAGCATGTTTTTCACGGCAATGGTGGCAGCGGGGAGGAGGTTGCCCTCTGTAGAATTGAGAAGGAGGCGGTTAAGTTTTGGCATTATTGTTGCTACGAGGCCATTGGGGAGCGGGGAGAGGCCGTGTTCCGTCAGGGCGCGGATGAGGTCTGCCGCTAGTGTTGTCAGGGCGTTTTCTTGGGTCGTGCTTCCGTCAATGGCGCCAGAGAGGGATGGGAGCACTTTTTCGCAGAGGCGGATGTATGCTTCTGGGCCCTGTCGGGAGATGTATTGGACAATGTCTTCGAAGGTTTCTGTCACAATTGTGGCGAGCTGGAAGTTACTGGCGCCGCTACTAGCGATGTTGAAGAGGACATCGAGGGCAATGGAGGAGAGGACGACGCCGGGATCGACCATGATAGTGTCTCGGAGCGTGTCGAGGAGGGTAAATTTAAGATCATCGCTGTCTATCATTTCTCGCAGGTCGCGGGAGGAGATGAAGTCGGACACGGTTGAGATAGCGGGGAGTTGTAGGGGTTTGGCCATGGAGGATGGGAGAGCGGGAAAGAAATCCTGCAGGACGCGGATGCAGGATACTTGGACGACTTCAGAAGGGTCATCAGCGATGGCCTTGATGGACGCCTCGAGGTATGACAATGCCGTCTGATGGAATTCTTCGCCCGCTGTCTTTGCAATTATTCCAGCGACGAGATAGCCACGGGCTCGAAGGAAGACGTCTTCCTGTGTCATGCAAAAGCGCACGAACTCGTTGGATCCTTTAGCTGCTTCCAGGGAAATCTGCTGGTCTACGTCGTTGAAGTCGCGAAGAAGCTGATTGAGAATGAAAAGGGCAGCTTCGCGTAGTTTCCAACTAGAAGCAACATTGTCAGAATTAAGTGGGAAATAAAAGAAAGAGGGTGAAAATTGAAAAGGGGCATACGATGTTGAGTCTGAGAACAGTGCATTCGAATAAACCAACAATGCGTCTACTGTAGTCCCCTTCAGCCATTCACCAAGCTTTATTACCAAATCCCCTCCACAGGTCCGAGGAGTGTAATTTGCGGTGAGCGACGTTTCCTCCGACAGGAACAGATTCACGTCGATGTCCCACAGCCCTTCCTCCTCCGTAGTAATCTGCGCATAGGATACAACCAGTTTCATAACCTCTGGCAACCAGCCAGAAGTACTCGCAGCACTCCCTGCGGCCTGCAGTTGGCTGTGTAGCTCCGCTTTAACCGGGGGAGCCCTAAGTAGCACTTGCATAAGGTCTAGTTCTTCCAAAACCAAGAAGTCGAGGGTATATGGGAGTCCATCCGCATCCTCTAGCCGGCCTTGGCGCTCGTCCATGATAAATAGTTCCTGATACGCATTTTGGATGGTGGATAGTTCGTCCCAAACAGAACTAAAAAGTACAGTGCTTTGCGAAGTAAGGAGTGCCGGGAACACAGCGCATATTTTCATTAAGGTCTGTAACGTCACGTATGTTAGTTCAATAAACAGTAAACCGAAGGAGGGCAATGGCAAAAATACCTTAACGACCTGCAACTTCAACGCAATCACCCCCCTCCACTCCTCTGAGCCCTGAGCATCATCGACCTCATCTTCCTCACTAGGGGGCGGTGGCGGCAGCGGCACCTTCATAGTTGCGAGGAAAAATGGTGACCAACCATTTAACGCCTCGTCCAGAAATTGCTTAATAGCAACCTTGTGTTGATCAATGACCATTTCCAGGGTATCAAAACAAGCTCTAAATACCGAGACGGCCAAGGCGCGCAGCACGGGTTTCCGAGCAGGGTTCGTCGCGACAGCAAAGACAGTCGACACGAGCTCCCGTGCCACTGTGAAAAACTGCTCCTCGCTAAATCCGCTCTCGACCAGATCCGACAACACCCTCAACGCGCCGTGTAACTGCGCCTCGTCGCTATTGGGGATAATCTGCAGCAAAGTGGGTAGCAACTCAGGCCATTCCTCGGGGAAATCCGCGCTGGCAATCTTGCTAACAACATAACTGGCAGAGGACTTCACTTTTCGCTCCGCAACATCAGCGGAGGTGGCCAGGTCGAGAAGAACTCGGCGCAGGTGAGCTTTATTGACATCACTAACGAGGATTTGCCCCTTGAATTCGTCGAGGTGCTGGGACCATGCTGCCAGGACGAAGGTGCGCAAGACGAGCAGGGCGGACTGTCGCAGCGGAGTGGGGACGGATCTGTGCGAGGCAATAGAGGCAAGGGAGAGGGGAAAGGATTCGTTTGAGTAAAGGGTTAGGAGTTGGAGTTCGGCAGAGTTGCGGGTGGCCTGTGCAGGGGACTGGGTGTCTGCCAGCAGCCGTAGGAGTTGTTCCTCCATGGTTGATTATAGGAGATCCCCGGGGTGGGGCGGGGCAGGGCAAGGGGGGTGGGGGTTGGGGAGGGGGCGCGATTGGGGGAGAGCGGGTGGAATAGAGGGATGGGTATTTCTTGAATTGTTTATCTCTTTATTGGTTTATTTCTTTGCATTGCTTTAGCTCTACCTGTAGTTGGTGGAGATTGGCTGTTGGGGGGAAGATGGAGACCCGCTATCCCCGGAACAGATGGGACGGAAAATATCTATGGGATGTTTACTTCGTGTGTTTGCGGGCGGGGTGACATTTGACAACATCGTATCAGGACCGGACAGGACAGGACAGTACAGTACAGTATGGTATGGACCTGGTAGGGGAACCGGTGTATTACCTGTGTATTACAGCAGCAACAAGTACGGCGCTTAGTGGGTGCCCAACTTGGAAATAGACATCCCCCCAACCCCCGAAGATACCTCGTCCGCTACGTAACTTTTGCTTGGAGCCGCGTACCTAGAGATCTTGGCGTTCCCTCTGCCTCTTGCAATTGCATGCATGTATTTTTCCTTTTTGGCTGTTGTCCCCCTCTGCTTTTTTGTTTCTTGTCTCTTCTTTTTTCATCATCTTGTTTTATTCTGGTTTCTGCTTTTTACCTTTCTTCGTTCTTTTCTACCCGTCCTCGCACTGCCTGATTATCCCGAACTACCCTTGGTAACTTAGACTCTTCTGCGACAGCAGAGATTAACCCGTGTCTTGTCGCTCTCTTCTTCGATCTGACGAGATTATTCCCTCTTGTCATACAATCCCGGCCTGGAACAGCTCAGCAGTACAGACACAATACATGCATACATACCTGCATCACGCACTGGCAGCATAAGCACCAAGACATGATAATAAATAACAATACTAAAACGCAACGACAGGATGAATCAACTATCCCCCCGCTTCTGTACAACTAATAACCATTCACGCTGTTCGGATATCCATCCCCGTCACCACTCCCCATCGACACCTCATCTCTTGCCAGCTCCACCACCACCGCACGCCCAAGGCTTTTTCAGCTATATAAACCCACGAAAATAATCCCCCGCCCCCAGGTGGACAAAACGTCATAACGCCATGGCCCAGACTACTAGCAGCCCTGCCAATGCCGATATTGGCTCCTCCTCATCCAGCTTCCCGCATGAAGCCCTGCCTGCTGGCCCTGTCTCCTCCCCTCCTCACACTACGGCCACCAACAATAATAATGGGTTCCAACGCCATACCAATACCACCAGCACCTCCAGCATAATCAGCAATGGAAATCACAACAACACCTGCCACACCCATAACCATCGCCCATCCCAGCTACCAGACACATACGCAGCCCTGACAGCCTCCATCGCCTCATTCCTAGCTGTCAGCATTCACCAAATTCTCTACCTCCGCGCTATCTACCCGCAATCCACTTTCCTGCCCGTCCGCCATTTCAACCGACCCGTCAGACAATCAAGACATCCCCGTGTCTGCACCTGGATCACAGACGCCTGTGCCGCCGTCGAGGCCCAGCTGCTGAAATGCACCATCGCCGCTGTCTCCATCGTTATACTCTCCTCAAGCAACAATCAGCCACTTGAAAGGTATACCTTCGACATGACACAGATACCGGAGGTGCCACCTGGTGATGTCCGTACTCCATTTGACAACGATAACGACAACTCTAGAGCATCTGAGGACCCCAAAAATCAACAGCAGCAGCAGCAGCAGCAATCTATCAAACCCCAAACCCATATCCCACCCGTCGAACTCGAGGCCCAATTCCGCGCAGTCCTCGCCCGCCTCGCCTCCGCATGCGCACGATTAACACCCCTCCCCCGCAACGAAGAGTACATCCCAACACTCCACATTGTCTTGCGCAACACTGCAGATGCCCCTGCCGGCATCTCTAACGCAGATCACCTATGGATCGCTGCTGAGCCATCCAAATTAGACCTAAACGGTAACTGTAATAGTAGCAATACTGCAAACGGATGCGGAATTTTTCTCAGTGGTAAATGTGCTGTTGGTGGGGTAGGGGAATTCGACAGGGCCGGTTCCAGGGGTCGAGCGAAGACTGTACCTGTTCGGACAGTGGATGCTGGCGAGTTGAAGATGGAAATTTGGGTGGAGGAGGCGAAGGGGAAGTTTGCAGAGTTGAACCGTATTCGGGCGGTCCACGAGACCTAGATTTTGATTACATGCGGAAATGGGAATGGTGCATTTTTGCTGATTGATTGCTTATTATCTGTTTTGACTGGGATCTCTTTTCTTTTCTTTTCTTTTCTTTTCTTTTCTTTTCTTTTCTTTTAATGAATTCCCTGATCAAATATCAAGGGTGGATCTAGGCAATGAAATGTGCTCCTCTATACCGCCAGGATCCCCCCCCCCCCTTTTTTTTGTGTAGTTTTCTAACTACCAAGAGGATTCATTTGGCTTTCGCCTTTTCCTCACTCTCTGTTTCAGTGCTATTTCCACAGTTATTCTCAGGCAGCCTAGGTGAGACGAAATACCGCGCTTCAGAAGGAATTGGGTTAACGAGTTTCTCAGAACTTCTTCATTTATCACTAGTTTAACTAACTTCTCATCCATTTTCTACTCTATTTGTTTTTTTCCCCAATTCAAATTTAGTTCTCAACTTAGCTAGGAACTTCAAACCCCAAAAAAAAAGAACCTTAATTAATCAAAAAAAACCAACCTTTTGGGCAAGGATTTTCCGGGATAAATTTTTTTCGGGCTACCCCCCCCCCCCCCCCCCGCGAGTCCAACTTTTGGTGGTCATAAATATCATAGAACCAAGACGTTTATAAGAAACACCAAGATTAACCAGCTCTATTCTGGATTATATGGTTATGCCCCACAGATGCATTCTCAACATGCCATTTGATCATGTTGCAGAGGCTCGACTGGACTGTACTTTTTGACTGGTTGGGGGCAGGCCCTCTTGGCAAATTCTGAATCTGAAAACCTGAGAAACTCGCCATATGTAGTAGTTTGCTGGATTGTCTGTTGTAACGAGTTACATCAAAGATATGTCTCTTGCAGACATTCTCGGAGAACTAGCATCTGAAGGTCTTGCAGTTCTAATTCATGAATAGGGTGAATGTGATCTAAGCAGTCTATTCTGATTAACTTGAATGTACCACACTTAAACTACTTATAAAAGAAATAAAAAGAAAATATCACTGTGTATTATTTAATGTTGCTGTGTGCACATTTAAGGGGGAAGGAATACTAACAAGAACCTCACTCTGCATTATATGTGCAAATCAAAGACAAACCACTGATTAAACACCCCAGGGTGAAATTTATCTTACTTTGAGGCTGAGAAATCTTGTCAGACAGAGATATAATGGGAATATCACAAGTGTTAAGAAAGAAAAAGAAAATCGGAATCCATTGTAAACTAATAGAAAAGAAGGTCAGAATGACATGCGAAGATAAATGCAAATCTGGGTAAATCAAGGGCAAAATAGTGATTAATCACCTTAGGGTGGAATTCAACTTGCTCAATGTTAAGGGATCTTGTGCAGGCTGGGAAAGAAGGAGAAAGAGGAGAGAATACGGGTGAAGAACAAATAAAGAAAGAGAGGAATGAAGAAAGGATAAAACAAGATAAAGGAGGGAAATGGAAAATAGTTAAGAATAAAGATATGAAAAGAAGACGAGACCAGAAATGACACGGAGAAGGTAAATAGGATAACTCTGCAAATACGTGCAAACAAAATGCAAACTATCAATTCAAAAATCTCAGGAAAATTAAACAAACTTGATGTACGGAGAGGGTCAAAAGTGGGGCGGGCGGAACCAAACAAAACACGCTTACGCCAACAAAGTTCAAGAAGAAGAGAGAGAAGAGACAGTTTAAAACGTCTTGCTTGCTTATTAAAGTATGACAACGAAACGCGAGAAACAGTAAAACCACCCAATCGCAGAAAAAAGAAAACCTTAACACGCGGTTCAAAATGCCCACCAGAAGCGGGAAAAGGAGGAGAGGAGAGGAGAGGAGAGGAGAGGAGAGGAGAGGAGAGGAGAGTTATCACTTGCGCAGAAAACGTACGGCCAAATTTTCGTCGACATTCGACATTCTTCCGGGAGATCCAGGGCTTCGAGAGGGCGCGTATAGCTTAGGTATTGTTGGGACCGTCTAGGGCAGGATTGGGGCCAGGACGGGGCGGGGGAACCTGGACAGGTACAGTTCATTCTGCTTTGTTGTATGTGTTATTTCGTAGTGGATTTGGCACATAGTAAGGGTCTGTCGCTGCCCGACACGGCAGATTCCGAAGGGGTGCTTGAGGGAACTGTTGGGCCTGGGGAGGACGGTTGGGGGGTTGGGGTTGCATTCCGTCTTGAAGCCGTTGAGCAATTGTTTGGGGCCATTGAGCATGGAACGAATGCTGCAGAGGTTCTTCATCTGCGTCCGGGAACTCCGGGCGGTGCATGGGGGCAAATTTAACATAGAATGGATAGAAAGGAGGTTGATAAACTAGAGGATGCTGGTGCTGGGGCTGATTAGGCGCCTGTTGCCCTATCGCGACACCCTGGGTGACTTGGCCTAAACGCGGCGCATTGTTGTGGGTGAACTGTCCTTCGTAGTTAGGTTGGGGTGGGTTCTCTTGAGGGTTGGTTTGGATCCATTTCGGGTTGCGGATTTGGCGGGAAAATATCCATTGCGTTCCAGGGTTCATCCTGCTCAAAACCGAGCTCTGGATTTGGGAGAAGTTGAGGAGATGACTGGTTGGCTGGGTTCAACCAGTCGAGGGGCCCAATCTAAGCGATTAGGACTGTTGGCTATAGGTGGGAACGCGAACGGTGCAGGCTGAATCGCTGGGTGGGGAGGATTTCGATGGGCATAGAGAGGCATGGGAGCAGCATGGGCAGCAGGGAAAAAACCACCGCGATTATTAGCATTAGGCCCGTTCCCATACATATCATTGTTCCCCAGGTGTTGATTCTGCAGACGTTGCAAAAAACGGAATTCCTGCGACTTGAATGTATTCGAATACGATTCTTGCATTGGGGCTTCGACCCCCAGGTTCTCTGGTTTCAAGTCTGGATCGTTTTTCATGGCTTCTTCAGTCGCTTTCTTGTGGGCACTAGAAACATCGTCGAAGTGGCGGTGCGTATTCACTGAATCATGGATCGGACAATGGCTTGGAGGTCTGTTAAAATGGCCGTAACCGTCCTTGTTGATCTTCTTCCTGCAAGCATAGCACATCACCCAACCGCATTTGACGCAAACCATCTTGTTGCACCCGTTCTCCTTGACCATCTTAACTTGGCATTTTGGATTGGGGCAAGTCCTGATAAGCGCATCGCTCATGGCCTCCTCAATCTTTGCCCTCGCAGGCAATCTCTTGTCACGGGCCTCCTTACAGCTCATGGGGATGTGGGATTCTTTTTCACAAAAACGGCAGCTCACCTTTTTGCACGTCGGGTTTTGGCAAGCGAATTCACTGTAATCGTCAATCGGCGGGCATATGGCCTTGAAATCACAAAAGGGGCAGCCATGGAGTCCCTCGATGTCTGCTTTTGCAATTTCGTTGAGTTGTTCAAGTTCCTCCAGCTTGTCGATCAGACTTTGGCCTAATGCCTGCCGTAATGTCTGCTTGTCGAAGCTGGCCGCACAGCCGCTCGTATCCATGCACTTTACGTCGTATTTCATGATGCCAATTAGGGATTTTGCCAGAGACCTGGTACATTGCACACAGAAGAAATGGATATTATCCCCTGTGCAATATACCATTCGGTTGATTGGGCTCTCAACGTAACAACACTGGCATTCCATGAGAGCGGCGGCTTCAGCGGCTAGTGCATCACCATTTCTGGCCCCCAATCTATCCAGCTCCTTTCCCCGTCGTAGCGTTACTGAAAAGCTCAGCTCCTATTAGCAAACGGGTGCGGGGCGAAGGGAGGAGCTTTATCTGGAAAGAAATGTCGAGAGGTTCAAATACCTTTGTTTTTCTTACTTTCCGCTTTCACGTCACCTAGCGCACGTGTCTGATCCAAGTCACTTGTGACCCTGGGTGGATATGGCTTTAGAGGTGCCTTTACAGATTCCTTTGGCAGTCCCTGGTCAAGTTGATTTCTGTTCAGATTTAACAAGCCCAGGAGGTGTGGTTTATAGGGAGAGTTCATGCTGTAAGAATGTTCAGCTTGATCCGGAGTAGTATGTGCAGTGCAGCGAACGATGACTTCTGTGACTGCAAAACATAACATATATAAAACTCTGAGAAGATGTTGGGGAAGTCCAGGTTGCAGTAGGATGAGGTTTGGATAGTCTTCCAAGAACACAATGCGACATATCTCAATGAAAGGATCCCCAAGAAACAGGGTGGCTGTGATTTGTAAGCTGGAAAATAGCCCACCCGGGCGCATACTCGAAGCTTCCTGTTTGGAGAATAACAAACAAGGAGAAGCGGTAACAGCTGGAAAAGGAAAGACCAGAACTTCCAAGATTATCCATCCATTCCACTTACCCCTTTTGATAGTACGCATCATCTCGGACAGACTCATCGTTCTTGCCCCAGCCTTTCCTAGGACTGATATCGGATGGGGTAACAATGGCCCCGGGGTCCACGTGTTTCGCCATTTCCCCCTTGGCATACGCCCCAGCGTCGATGATGTGGTTGATCAGAGCCTCCCCAATATCAACATCAACATCAACTTCGGCACCTGATTTCTTGTGCTGCATGTACAGCTGACGAACGTGCTCCAGCCTGATCTCTGGGAAGATGGCCGAAATCCGAGCATACATGGCATCCTCTGGTAGGGTAGGGGGCTGAGATGGGCGGGAAATCCCGCCATCCAATCTTTGGGCTCTCTTAGTGTCTTCTTCTATCTCGATGATCTCGGGGAGCTTTCGTTTCATGGTGTATATAAGCTAACTGTGCCTAACTCTAGCTAAGGAGAAAGCGCACGAAGGGCGTGTGTTTTGGATTACGATATATCCTTAGGATAGAGCAAAGGGAAGATGGGTGAATGAGATTTGAACAGCAGAAGGGGGATGTATATCCAAGGCTGGATGGATCCGAGCAATGGATATACAGGATTCTCGAAGTGCTCAAGTTATTGCCAACGAAGAGTGGAATTGCAGGGCAAAATATAGCATTCTTCTCAACTCGAGGAGGGGTAACCCAACCCGCACAAGGGAAGGTTTCCGGCGAGAGCCTATCTTGATATAGCACACAGACAAAAGGGCTGTCTTGCCACCTAGAAGCAGAACTTGAACACGAACTTGACAGCGCAATGCTGACTGAAGCTAAGAACACAAGACCGCCTGGTGTAGATAGATAGATAGATAGGAAGACAGACACACTGGAAACGCGATGCGTCCGTTAATCTCTTCTGGCCGGGGAAATGCTCATCTAAAGAGATTTTGAGGGAGGAGGCTTCCAATTCCAGACAAATGGTTTACATTTGCAAAATGATGGGTAAGTATGTGGAGGATAAAAAGGCCAGACAACAGATGAGAGAACAGGCAAAGACTCATTAGGGATATTTAAATCAAGTTCCCGCTCTTTTGCGGAGAGGCAGACTAGCTGAAGGGGGGAGTTGGCCTAGTTATGATAGATCTATCACTGTCTGATTCCCTGGCACCAACCCTTTGCACCAGAAAGCAAGAAAATCATAGAGTTAAAAATTAAAAAGAACCTTGTCGCTAGGCTCATTGCTCACAGTCACTGCCATTTGCTGTTGCTGTGCTGCGTCCAGCATTTTCGAGAGCAACAACGAACCCTTTAGATGTTGAAGCTTTTGACGTCGGCAAACTCTGGAAGGTTTAACGTTAGGCTTAGATTCGTTCATGTTGGCAAAAAACCATAAAAGGCCTCAGAGCTACCGATCTCCCAAACGATAAGCTTGGTTGCCTGGTTGTGACGGCGGCACTTTTTTCCGGCGCGGCCTAACGCGAGGGATGACTTACTATTGGCCCTTGGCCTTGGCACGCAGCATGGAAGAAAGAACGGCCAGGTCGGTTTCCATCGGGAAGGAGCAATGACTAAGCGAGGCAAGGCGATATCAGAGATTCGCTCGGCAAGTTTCACGAATCAAGAAGCGAGCTTTAATTTAATCTTTTGAACTCTCTTGTACTGTATCAGTTTTAAGGTTCAGGTAAAATAATATTTACTTTGTCTGGGAAAACCTCCATTGTTTTTCGCCAGCGCTGCAAGTAGCGGGAAATAATACATACATCTTCTACCTACCTATCCATGGTATCTCCCTCAAACAAGTGCATTCTATTAGTTCCTCGAAGTCACGCGGCAGAAGGAAACACCTGCTATAATAACTCGGTTCAATAATGGGGTCCGCCAACTTCTCTCTCCCTCCTGCAGACTCTCCAGACCTCACCCTCGTCATCCCAACTCCTGCAGAGCGTATTCAATGTCTGAAATCAAACAGCCTGGAATGGAAAGGCGTGCTGGACCCCGAGCAATACATCCAGCGTGAGAACCATCTCATGAGCCAGGAAATGACCAGGGACGGCGCCATGACCTGCTGGATCCTGGTAGACCGCAACCTGGCCCCCGACCACCGCCCAATTCTCAGTAGCTGTGAGTCATTTGGCAAACGTGCCTTGCTAGCCTATGAGGGTAGAGTCGAGGACATCATTGCCCACGGCATCGGGAGTGTGTTTTCCAAACCCGAGTTTCGACGTCGGGGATACGCTGGGCGGATGATAGCGGAGCTCTCGATTAAACTGGATACCTGGCAACAGGAGAATTCGGTGCGGAAACAGAGCGTATTTTCAGTTCTTTACTCAGACATTGGCAAAACTTTCTATGCGGAGCGTGGGTGGAAAGCTTTCCCGTCGTCGCACATCAGTCTTCCTGCCGTCTCGAAAGATACCATGAACCAGGGCGTTTCGGGCGTTAATTTGGATCTGGTAAGGTTCATGCAGGCTAATGACGTCAAAAAGCTCATGTGCTCCGATGAGGTGCTCCAAAGGGATCGTCAGGTTCTCAGAGAGGCATCTCACCGCTCACAAAGGGCCAAGGTTGGCTTTCTCCCCGATTATGCAGCGATGAGCTGGCACTGGGCTCGAGAAGAATTCTATTCCAGGATTCTGGTTCCCGAAAAGGGAGAGCCGAAAGTCAAAGGCGCCTGTGTGGAAAGCCGCGGGGTATTCATCTGTTGGAATCGGAGTTTTGGCAGGACTGAGAAGGACAACGTCTTGTTCATTCTGCGGCTGCTATACGAGGAGCCGAAATCGCCAGCTGAAGAAAAGGCAGTAGCTGAGGCACTTGCCGCCACGCTCTATCGCGCCCAGCTGGAGGCTCATAACTGGGGTAAGAATCGGGTAGATATTTGGAATCCAACTCCTGTCGTCGAGAAGGCGGTGAAAATGCTGTGTCCGACGGCGCAAGTCGAGCATAGAGAGAAGAGCAGCATATGCAGTTTGAAGTGGAATGGCGCGCAACTTGGGTTAGGTGAAGACGTAGACTGGTTTTGGAATGAGAAGTTTGCCTGGTGCTGAAGCTTGATATCATCCGCTTCTTCCTGTGAATAGCGTGTTTGATCTTACCCATAGGCGGTGTGCCACTGAAGCCAGCTTTTCATTTACCTATAGACCATGGGAGGCATATTCGTATAACTTGGTGGATGCAACGTTCACGTTTCTTTTGTTTTTATGGCTCGCGCATTTTACACATGCAGAATATGTGGCTTTGGGTTTGGCTGTTACTATAACGCTTCACGTCCGCCGTTTCATTCCTGGGCGGGCAGTGTTGTTTTCCGCCCTTGGTTTAAAACAAATACTGGTCGCGTCAGGATACTGATAAGAGTCCTTCTGCATTCAGCAATTTGTTAGTTCGTTTCATTCAAATATATAATCCTCTTGTGTTTTAACACGTCCACATAGTACAATGAACTCGATGACAGGAAACTTTGCACCTACCTTCAAATTATCCCACGTAGCATCCGTCCTCCAAGATTCCGGTAATAGATCTTTCCAATTCTCCAAGAACTCCGTGCGCCTATTCGCCAACGTTGGATCTGGTGCGTTAGCTTCGAGATAGGTTTCACCAACCCAACCCACGGTGATATTTCTGTCGAGGCTTGCCCCTAAATATGGTGTAAATTAAGTTAGTATTGATACGTTAACTGGAAAAAAAAAAAAAAAAAAAAAAAAAAAAAAAAAAAAAAAAAAAAAAAAAAAAAAAAAAACCAAACCCCCGCCTTACATTTGAGCTCCTCATAAATTTCCCCTAGACCCACCGACGCCGGATCCCCCATCAGCCTCCTCACCAATGCATCAAACAATGCCTTCGGGAACCCAGCATCACCACCGTCATCTCCATTCCCATCATCCCCACCCCTCGCTGCCCTCCACAAATCCCACGCCAGAAACTGCTTTCCCAATTCAATCCCCTGCAACACCGCGCCGTCCAGAATCCTTTTCCACATCTGGATGCATACCACAGCCGAGGGACGCCAACACGCCAGGGGACGATGATTAACGCCGCCGCTCTCCTCCCCATTCATATCCGCTGCATCAGGGTCCCGCCGGGGATGTACAAACCCGCAAATCTCCACCCACGCCCGCTCACACTCCGCTGGCGACAAGGGCACATCCGCGAATAATTTCCTGATGATTTCCCCCCGTTCCTGTTGCGTGACTGCTGCACTCCCAGCAGAAGATAGGCCCGCACCCGCAACACCCGCAGCGCTCGTATCCACATATCCATCCCCTTCAGCATGGGTGCCACTATACACAAGCAGCGATTTTTGCAGGGATGTATATGCGGCATGTGAAGCATCATCTACCTTTACGAGTTCGAGGATGCCGTTGCATTTGGCGATGGCTGTGACACAGTCTTCTCTCTTCCCTGGCTGCGCGGACGAGGACCGGTGGGAGGGTTTGATGAGGAATATTGAGTTTGAGGAATTGACTTGGCGGACCTTGTATGTTTGGGTGGTTGTGCAGAGGTGTACATAGGGATTGTTGGATGAGGAGGCCTTGGAAGAGGAAACCGGGGCGGATTTCAGGTAGAGACTGGTGAGTTTGTTGCGAGAGGGGAGGAATAATTAGTTTTGAACGCTTCAGATATATTCAAGCTTGAAGATTTTTCTTTTTTCCTTTCTCATCGTCATGGGAAATATTTATCGAAACATACGTAGATGCGAGCTTCCAGGAAGAAGAAGAAGAAGAAGAAGAAGAAGAAGATGATGATGATGATGATGATGATGAAACCAGCTCCGTCAGTTCAGGGGGTAATTCGAGCAGTTTGAAGCCTCGTTTGGTGTCGGTGGTCTTCGTTAAGTTGACAGTCCGTCCAGTGGGCTTGGCCATGGTCAACTTAACCGCAATTTTTTACAAACCCAACCAAGTATATTTGCCTGAAAATGGATATATGCTGTAACTCATTCCGGGCCTTTCTGTTGCTGTGTGCTGTGCCTTTTTTGCCTGTCCGACGTTGCTGACAAAATCGACACAAACGTGGGGTTTTGTCGCGCCGTGATTTAAAAATTTTTTCCTCAGGCGCGCGTCTTTTTACGGTTGTTGGAAGCGCTATGGAACAAAGTTCAGCGGACCGAATTCAAGCGCTGGAGATAAAACGGCCTGCCTTCATAAGCAATTGCTGAGCTGGTAAGAAGAAAATGGGATATTTATTAAGAGGCTGTAATTTGTAATTCCGTTTCTTACTAACTAATGTGGCCCATAGAAAATTTCCGAGATCTAAATTACAAATTTACCGGAATTGTCCGTTTCAGTGTAGGTACCCTACGATCAACGGATGATCGCCATCTTCAGTGTGTTGCTCTCATGCTAGCAAAATGATACAACACGATATCCCTTGAAAATTAAATTAGCAGGAAAACAGGTATGAATCTGGTAAGAATAGAGACGCTGTAAAGAGTGCAAGATCTTGCATTCACTTGAAAAAAAAGTGTAAATTAATCTTCTTTGTCCTCTTCCTATAAGAACAGTAAATAACATGAGAAATGAACTCCAAGCAAATGTAGCTATTGTAGCTGTGGAAAACAATGGATGATCAGGTATACAGGCACATAACCCCCAGCACCAGAAATTGTCGACAGAAATGAAATAGCGATGGATTATAACCTGTTGCATAAACTGACGCACGGCATACTTCAGAAGGAAAAAGAAAAAAAAAAAAAAAACAAAAAAAAAACAAAGGGTCTGATGAAAAGCCCAAAGAGGAGAAGAATATGACAGCAAAGGGCGGAGGGAGTACTGGTACTCCTCATTCGGAGACATTGAAATGCCCCTTGTGTAGGTATCAAAGTCGCGGGAGAGCACGAAGACTAGAGGTGACGAATTCGACAAAAATATTAGATTCAACCCTTCTTCTTCCTTTGTGTAGTGGGTGTAGAACTCGAAATGCCACTCAAAATGCGATCAATAGTAGTGTTGTATATCAAAAAAACCCTTTCAAAAAGAACGCCCAACCCAGCAAAGCAGAAGTGAAACAAGAAAGGGAAAAGAAGAAAAAAAAAATGAAAATGAAAATGAAAAAGAAGGAAAGAAAGAAACACTCTCAAATCTCAAATCTAGCATTAAAATAAAATAATCTGTACATCTCATTCATCTCCTTTCCACATCTTTCTTAAGCGACGCAAGGCGCGCTCCATTCTCCGCCCGCGGTTGTTATTGCTGTTGCTGCTACTGTTGCTGCTGCTATTGTTGTCCATCTCCTGCACCGGCAGTTCCCTCTCTCTTAGTCGCCCCCAGCATGTCCTCATTCATTTTCTTAAGGAACTCTATGGCCAGGGAATCCTTCTTCCATTGGCCCGCAGGGTCCTTAAACTGTTCCTGCCCAAGCTTCCCCTCCTCGGCTTTCCCTTTCTCTTCAGCTTCCCGCGCCTTGCGCTCCCGCTCCATTTCCTCCATGTGCCTGATATCGTCGAGACTAGGCTCATAAAGATGCCAGATGGTGTAGTGTGGAAGGCCAACGACAGAGAATTTCATCCTCTTGGCCATCTGTTTGTGTGCCGGACATGTCAGACGAAGTGCATGAAAGAAACAAGCAACGGGAAATAAGGAATGTGAAGAGAACGTTACGTTACCTTGCCAAATGCCTCTGTCTCCGCATGTTTTTCAAAGCTAAATGCCGGGAAATGGACGCCCGAGCGGAACACTCTAGCCTTGGCCAGAATGCTAACGCCACCCACGCCATCGATTTCCATTTCCATGTCCGGATCGCCATAGGGATCCCTAAGATACGCCAAATGCGGGCGCCAAGTAGCATATTCCGCATAACCTTCCACAATGACGGCATCTTCATCCAATGTATCTGCCAATGCCAATGCAGTCTCTGATTCCTGCCAGGAATTCAAGTCATAGGGTTGTTCCCCGCCGAGCCAATCCGGAAGAGGTCGCCAAATGTCTAGAAGAGGCACGTACGGTTAGTTTGCTTGATCACGCCAAGTTCAAGCCTAGAGAGTGGATATGCCCAACTCACTTGGTACGATGACATCCTTATTATGTCTCATCAGATCCTCCAAAATGGTAAATGGAGCCGTCTCGACATCGGCATCTCTCCAGTATACCCAGCTGTGTGTTGGGCGCAGGGTAGCACTCAGCAGCCAATTTCTCGCCTGTGCCATAAGCTTTCTTCGGGAGGCCTGTGCAGCAAATCCATGCCTGCTTTCAACATCTTGGTTGACCTTCTGCCCAAAGTCTTTCTCAATCACTGAGATTTCCCCGTAATGTTTTTTCGGGTCAGAATCATTCTGCAAATCGTTAAGCATTTTCATGAGGAGGGAAAGGGTGTCATCTTTCGAGTCGGAGACTAGGAAGGCGAGATCTATGAGATGATGCGGATAGGTGAAATTGCGTAGGTGTGAGAAGAACATGGGCAAATGTGGCGCGGCGTCTCGCAGAGGTGTACAGAGGAGGACTCGCTCCTCTCGTTCCCAGCCCCGGGCGGTTCCTTGAAAGTTCGACAGGTCATAATATCTGACAGTGTCCAGTTGAAATTCATCTGCCGATGAAAGAAGACCAAAGGAAAGGGTTCCCAGGATCGCAGCTCGCCAGGAGGGGAAGATCAAAACTAAGATAACTAACGAAAGGCCACCAAGAACACATAAGCGCTGCATAAGCTGATGTCTCCGGCGCAGAGCAGAATGGGAGCGTGGTTGAAATCTTTTGTTTGTTTTTTTTTTTTTTTTGTATCAGCTACCCCCAGCTCTACCAGACAGCTCTTCCCCTTTCTGCATAATCAAGACATACCTGTGAGGTGATATTGAGAACGTCCCGCTCTCCCTGTGCGGGTAGGCGGTGTAGCTACTGGCGTAGGAGGTATTCCCCTTCATATCTCCAGGACGAGCAGCATGTGTAAAAGGAAGACGTTTCGGATAGCTTGAATGAATTTCACGGGATGATTTTCACAGGGAAGCTGGGCGGCCTTGAGGACTGAGTTACAGCTGGGGAATATTGTAACCAAAGGCCATACGCCACGGCCTTGACAAGTCCAGTCCACCCAACCACCGATCCACGGAATGTGTATGCTAAAATCGTAACGAAGGGAAGCCAAACGGAAAATTTCCCAAATTAAAAAAAATTTTCTTGAACAAAAAAAAAAAAAAAAGAAAGAAAGAAAAAGAAAAAGAAAAAGAAAAGAAAAGAAAAGAAAAATTTTTATGGGGCCGGTCAAACAGTGTGGTGGATAACGAAGCTCAAGCGTTGTCGCAGGTTGCCGATGGAAACGAGGGCGAAAGAGGGTTAGGGACGAAATGAGCGTAACCAGGCAGGGGATGATGACTTTACACTTATAACACAGATCTCTCACGGCGGGGGGGGAGGAGGAGGAGGAGGACGAGAACAGCAGAGAGGGAGAGAGATTTATTTGGTGACGTTTGAGCAAAACGACGAACAAGAACCAAATAAGCGACGGTTGCAAAAAGAGAGAGAGAAAGAAGCAGCAACAAGAACGGGGGCCGGGGCCAGGATGATCCGGCGGCGGGCGGGATGACTACAAGCTTACGTCAGTGCCAGAGAGAAGAAGGGGTCAATATGAGGGAATGGTTTTAACGAACTAAACCACCCTCAACCAGACAGACAAACCAGTTGAACTAGAGTTAAATCACTAATAACTGTGATTCTTCCAAGGTCCCGGTCTGGGGTTGCAGTTGGATTGAGGGTTTTTAAAACAGTACAGTTGATCATGATTTAAATGTGTGGGGTTCCATTGATCCAAACTGTGATTGGTCACTTCATCTCTAAAATGGTAAACACAGTTAGTTAGTTAACTCTCTACATGGTTTTTATCTCCGTGCATACACGTGCATACACGTGCATACACACGACACATATTTCTGATTCTCTCTCTTCAACAACCTCACCGCCCTCGACGAAGCCAAGGTTAAGGGGAAATTAAAGGTTACGGGTAAGGGCCTGAGAAATTGTGACAAGATTCACCCCCATCCAGAGAGCATATCGACATGTGTGTGGGATGTGTGTGGGATGTGTGTGAGATATGTGTGAGATATAGTTATGTGTGGGATATTAATTGGACTGGTTTGGATGTATTAGTTTTAATTGGAGGTTAAACCCCCCCCCGACAACTGGGTTTTTCCCAGCCGAGATTTAAACCCACATGCAAACTTTGTGTTAAACCCACGTTCAAATGCACGCCCGTTCGAGTCCAAACCAACCAACTATGTATTGTTGTATCTAATAAAGTCTGAAAAGGCGTCGATGAAATCGCCAAAGCCGACCCTAAGACGCTTCTGAAACATAGTTGCCGAGCCCGGAGAAATAAGAAATTCCACCGTCTTCGCAGTCAAAGGGCCATTCAACAGGATGAACAAGGATGGGCAATAACATTTACAGAGTGTAAACTGCTCCGTTCATCGAACCCTTTATATTCAGACCATGTCCATCTGATGACCACATTATCTTCATTTAAACCGCTCTTCGGGGAGATCTTTGCTTCAGAGATAAGACATTGTTTTTGCCAAGTCCCCCAGCTTCGTCAGATCAAGGAATCCAAGCACCAAACCAGCAACTAAGTAACTAGTAAACTCGGAGTCCCTTGGGTACTTTGGCATAAAAAGCAACGGAATATCCGTGGACATCAAACGTCGGGAAATGCGTCGCTCGGCTCGCTACTTTGCTGCAGAAAGGAAGGAAAAATAAATAAATAAATAAATAAATAAATAAATCCAATCTCCTTGTTGCGCATGAAATATATCTCCAATCCAATTGAAGTGATACCATCATCCATGGCAATGAAGAGGCTCTGATCGTGTCAACAGGGAACCCCCTGTTTGGCAGAACGAATTTGCCACAAAGACAGCAAGCAAGCAAGAAAATATTAGACTGTAAACGGCCTGATTTTATGTAAGTGAAAATAAGCAGCATACTATGAGAAAATGGAGAGAGACAGAGAAAAAAGGGTCTATTTTGCGTTTCTATTTGTGTATTTCCTTTTTCACTCCCGCTGCCACAACCTTCTGTCCCTTCTTACCTCGAGTCCTCTTCCTTGTTTTCTTATAAAGAAAATAATGCATATTCTTCTTCCGTGGGTCATCTCATCATGCCCACGACAACAATGGATGCCAAGAAGGCAGTGACCTAGTCGCCATTCGGAAAAGAAACAAAGAAAGAAAGAAAGAAAAAAAAAAAAATCAACCATCAACCCGTACATTCCGTCCCGCCCTGGGCCCGTGCTATCATCGCACAGTAGCACCCTTCAAGCTCTTCACCGTACACACACCTCCAGATTTCGTAACCAACTTCCCAACCGCAGGCGTAGCAGGCGTAGCACTAACCTCACCTTCCTTCTCCGCCAGCTGCGGGACTTGCGTCCTATCAAATGCCACTACCAAGGACTCCGTAGTCGTAAACCCAGGCTGGAAGGTTTCCCAAATCTTCTTCTTGGGATTCAGCACACTCTCCGGCTCCCCATCGCTCCATCCCTCGAAGAAAACGCGTTCACCCGCATGCGCATCAGCGGGCGGGCTAACTAGTTCGACGGGTCCTGCATGCGCATCATCGCTCCTGGGCGATGCGGCCAGCACCATGGCGGCGGATTTTATCCCGCGCATCGTTATGGGTTTCAGGTTGCAAACGGCGACGATTTTGCGGTTTTGCATCTCAGCGAGCGGGATCAGGCCATTTAGTCCTGAGCAGACGGTCCGGACCGTTAGGCCTGTTTCCTCGTCGACGGATGTGTTTTCGGTTCCTGGGGCGTCGCCGCAGTTGATGGTGGAGACGTAGAGGGAGTCTGCGTTGGGGTGGTTAACGGCGCGGAGGATGTGGCCGACGCGGAGGTCGATGAGGGAAGGGGAGAGAAGGGGGGCTGGGGCTGGGGCTGGGGCTGGGGCTGGGGCCGGGGCCGCGGTTTGTTTTCGCTGCTTGGGTTGAGTTTGCTTCTTCTCTTTCTTTTCACGGGCTGCTGGATCTACGACACCTGCTGCTACGTCTTTTCCCCGCCCTACCACCAGATTCTTCTCGGCGCTGACGTTACCACCACCCTGGCCCGTGGGTTTCTTCTCCTTTTTCTTTTTCTCCTTCTCATCTCTGGGTGGTTCCACCGCCTTGGGCACAACCTTCACATCATCCACGTCAATCGCAACCTTCTCCTCCGCTGGGATCTTAAGACCAAACAATGGCGCATTCTGCACGAAATCGATATATCGTACAATATGATGATATCCATTATCGCCCGTCCTTTCATCCGGAGTCCACTTCTCCGCCACCGGTGCCAAAACAGCATAAACCGCAATATCCACGACAGACGGCTTTGCACCCAGCAGCGTCGTGCGGGTCGCTAGATGTTTGTTGAGCTTAACAAGGAACTCTGTTACAGCAGCAGAGTCGGCTTTGTTCAGTAACTCGGTGGTCGTCTCGATTTCATGCAGCCATTGTTCCAGTTCAACCTTTTCATCATCACTGTAAGCTTGTGAGGGGAACACCTTGGGTGAGATCGTTTGCAGGTCTAAATCAATAGAGGTAGAGGGGACAGCGCGAGGGAATGAGCGGTATAGAAGAGAGAGGAGGGAGGCCATAGGCGCGGAGTTAGTTGCCATATTTTCGGTCCGTTGGATAGAAGGAAACAGGTTTGAATTCAATATATGACTCCTCCGAGTAGAGTAATAATAGCACGGAGTCAATAAAGAGGTAGTGGCAGAAGTAGGGGATAGCAAGCGCGGATGCTGTTTTGAGAAGAAGGGCGGGGTGGTTTGTAGCCTGATAGCGAGTTGTTTCAGGGCTTCAGGAGGCCGCAGGAAACGATGGGAGGCGGTAGACTTCACCTTGACGGCTAGTCCTTCAACTGACAGGGAAGGAGTTCTATTGTTGAGATCACAAAAAGAGAGATAGAGGAGTGTGTCAATGGCTTGTGAAATGGAGGTTTGTATCTGGTATCGTTAACTTGAACATCAGCTTTGGGCAGAAAAATCGGATAAATTTTCGTTGGAAGTCGGAGCTTATTTAATGTGACCGAACCACTAAACGCACGCACGTTATCATCCCCCAAGCTTTGAACCTCACAACCATGTCAAACAACATGAAATATATGAGCTCACAGTACGGAGTAGCTGAAATCCTCTCTCAGAAAAGGTGCAAATTACGCTAAATATGGAATTCACCAGACCACTGTTATGTGATGTGTTACTCATCAGGTTACTTCAAATAGATAGTCTCTATCTACAAAAAGAAGCTCACAAGTTCTCATGAAATTAAATCTCTATTTTTTTTTAAATTTTTTTTTTTATTTTATTTGATGATGATCATTTTGAGTTTAAAATTGTCACTTGTGGCATTAGCCAGAGGCCCCAAGGTAAAACAATCATTAGCACTACGACATCAGGCAAAGTATTTCTTTATGTACCCTCCAGTACAGAACTGAAATCTTACAATGAAAGTACCTAAAATTTCCTTTTGGGGTTAACAGAAATGACAGAAAACAAAGCCGCATAAACGTCCTAGATCATGGCTACGTAGGTAGGCATGGACAGTACGTAAAACAAGCAGGAACAACAAAACGAAAACAAGCCTCTGAGGATCCTTGTAGCGTTTTTTTACCGCTCTGTCCTCTCCTTCTGCCCATCTTCAGTGACCTGGCCGCATACAACAGTGTATCAATCAGTGTGCTGAACGAAGGACCAGGAGAACAAGGTCGGGGTGAAAAAAAGTTAAGGGGCGGCGATACTATGTAAGATATAGACAGGAGATCGGCAGAGTATCTTTCTTCATCTGTAGCAGGGAAGGGGATAATATATATGTACTGTATGTATGTAAAGGGGTATATGTGGTGTACGCAACTCAACGTCTCTCATGTCCTTGTCGAAACTGTACATTTAACGCATGAAAAAATGAATTCAATGTTGGGTATCTAAGCGTGCGCTGCCATTCGAAGCTTTGGTCCTCGAAGATCGAACGCAACGAAGATCGCTTTGAAGAATACGTCTCCCCAGATCTGGAGGCGAGCGCCTTTATTGGATTGGATGCCTCCGAAACAGACTGAATGTAAAAATAAAAACAATCCTGTTAGTAAAACTACTATCATAGGTAATGGATGTCACATTGCATAAAGGTATGAGGAGGATAGGCCGTGAACAATGGGATACTCCAAATCCATAATAGAAATGAGAATCCACCATCACCAGAATGAAAAGAGTGATGACAAACTTACGCTCATTTCCGCTAGAATCATGCCCCGTCGAAGAAAATGTTATCAAGCTGCCTGGTATTCTCGCTAGATGCGTATCCCCTATGGATACCAGGAGATCCGGAAGCTCCGTGCCACAGGGGAATATAAACCCCCCAGCAGCAGCAGAGAGCTGTGCCCCAGGAACCTTGGAGTAATAAGCTTCCACAATCTCCCCATTGACCAACATCAGCGACGTGCCCGTATCGGCGATTGCAGTACGCACCCCACGCGAGACGGTCCTAACGGAGGTATCGTTGCCCACCATAAACATGCTCGATTTGATTTCCCAATGACCCCGCGAGTTGTCCACAGGGACATCAACCATATCACCGGCGAATTTCGCAGGATCGACTGTGCCAAATTCATAGCTGCCGGGTGCTTGGGATTTTAATTGAGCGGTGAAGACGGGGTCTTGCAAGTCAGAGGCGATATTCTCAAAAAAAGTTGTCTGTGGTTCTGGACGCATAGTGTTGATGGAAGTAAATGCTAAACCAACGAGACCGTCGGAGCCTGCGTCCTTAATAAATGAATCTGAGATCTCATTCGGGAGTCCAAAAGCTTGCTTTTGAACTGTCGCACCGCCAATGTCGATTGTGTCCCTTCCGACATCGCCCCGTGCAAAGGAGGAGTCTCCATAGGTGATGTTGAAGGTTGTGCTTTGGAGTAGCTCGAACGTACGAGACTGTGCGGGATCAAACACTGAGTGGCCCTCAGATATGCTTGAGTCCAATTGCGTGTTAAATACCCATCTGTAAAATAAATAAAAAAAAGGCGGAAAAAAAAGTTAGTTTATTGCACCACATAGCACAAGCTCTTGTCTCCCTACCTGCCCATATCCATCCTTGTTGGGTCAGAGTATATACATACGTGTCCGACGATCCCGTGTCAAAGTTCATCACAAACTTCTGACCGCCAATGGTCACAGGAGACAGATACTGTACATCGTTCTGCGTGGGAATATTGGTAACAGCACCATTCTCATCAGGTTCTTTTGCCTTGTTTACCGCTTGACGATCTACAGAAGTTGCGAACTCGTTGAACTCCAGAGCCCCAAAGTCAATGTCGGAGGGGATGATGCCATACTTGGAGTAGGCTTTTTTGATTGCAGCCAGGCCGTTAGGGACATAGTCCGCACGGCGAATCAGATCGACTTTGAAGGTTCGTTTTCTCAGACGCGACGATTGCGAGGGCGCCCCCAGAACCGAGGGGCCCAGAAGGAGGAACAGGTAGAGTAAAACCTGTATCAAATACATCTTGCCGAATTTCTACCTGAAGGCTGGTTTCGACACAGAAAATGGAGGAGGAGGAGGAAAGAAGCTATTCAAACAAGACAAAAAAAATATATATAGAAAAATATAGAAAAATAAGGTGGGGGAGGGGTGTTAGGGGTTACAGGAATCGATGACAATGAAGGAGTGTATGTAAACCGTGTCCAGACACGCGAAAGGTGAAAAGGAATGACAAGCACACAAACACCCCCCCCCAAGCAGTGGTATATATGCGTATAAATATATCTTAAAAACGAGAGAGACTATGCAAAAGAAACGAACAGTAATGGGATCAATATAATGAAGGCTATGACTCCGTAAGATCCATTTTCAAAGGGAATTGAGAGAATGAGCAGGTTGAAGAGGTTGAAGAGGTTTGGGGTGGAGAGAGGGTGTCGAAGACAACAAGAACAACCTCTCAGATAACCAAGAGAATGTGTGATAAAGAAAAAAACCAGAAATGCAAGGGAAACAAGGAGACTCCAGTCTCAATACAACAATAAACTTGAACAAAAGACAAGCAAAGAGAGAACAGAGTTTAACAGTGGAAATTTATCACTTGCTTCCAGAGTAGGAGATATATCACACTGCCAACTTGTTGCAGAAGGAGATCAGCTCTGACAGCAAGAAAAGAAACCTTGGAACGAGATTACAGATGACAGTGGAGAGATTCACTTCCTTCCACGAGGGAGATCTCCCCCCCTCTCTAATATCAGACCAGGAGAGGGTCTGCCAGCTCTCCGCTGCGTAATCTGGGCCCACCTATCGCATTTGCCAGCCGCCCATGTTGAGATCTGACACCATGCTAACCAAGGGCGCGCTTGGCGGAGCCCGAAGTGGAGGCGGGTCTGATTGAGGGGAAATAACTACATATGGTATGAGCGGCATCGAGTCACTGATTGGATAACTATGACATCCCGCCCTTGGTTTCTTCATCTGTTCATCATCAAGGGCAGTGAGTATTTGAGCCACTCAGGCGGCGCAAGGAGAGTGCAAGACAAGACTTCCAGGGGACATTAGATTTCAAGCACCACCAAACAGATGTTGTTCCTAGCCGAGTTGGCTTGGGTGCCGCGTCGTTGTTCCAGGCTCGTCTCGTTTATCATATTTAGTTTCTGTCAAAGGTGGAACTCCGAGCCTTGGTACCTGGGAAGCCAGAAAGCGAAGAGAGCGCCCAGAATCCCGCCTGGATCACATTCAACATGTTAACCAGCCGAAGTTGGAATTTGCGTTTTAAGTTTTACCCCGTGGAACGTCATCGTCGTTTTTCAAGATAATGCGCTGTTAAGCTTCCAATAAGCACGCCAAACACGGGTGCTTCTGGACGGGATGAAACAACCAGGGCGTGTCTCAGCCCAACTCACTCAAAATGTCCCTGCTTGTCTCGATGCGCGTGATTCGCCAGACCGTGGTGTTTCAAGCGCTGGCGGTTTCGGAAAGCAGAACGAACTGCTACCACAGTGTGCCTATGATAAAAAGAGAGTTCAAGTTCACAGCATTCAACTGCCAACTTTCTTCCTTCAGGTAACTAAATATGTTGTTTATTTGCTTAGAAGATGTTAACTAAACTATGCAGCCGCTGCATTCATTCCAAGGCTTTGATCTCAATATCAAATATCCCAGTGGAAATGATGGATCGATCTCCTTTCATATTTTACATCCATTACAAGCAAATGCTGTTAATTGTCTGTACATCTCATCGCTACGTTGATATCTATATCTGCGAGTGACAAAACATCTCGGATTTCAAAATCTCTATCTTCAACTACTTCGGTTGACCCCCACTGGTCGCCATAATAGAACCCCGGGATATTTATATACGATAGTATAGATTGAGAAGAAGAAAAAAGAAAAAAAAAAAAAAAACATCCTATCTCCTCCCATCTAGTATCCAAAATCCTCCGCCAAAGTTGTCTATTATGTTGTTTCATGTCATTCTCGGGGTTGCCACAACAATAGCGACTTTGTCATAAATATACTGCACATTTCCATACATTCGTCAACGCGTACTGATTCAACAGACTATCCACTTACATACAGCATATGAACGCAGCTATCAGGCACGTTCTGTTTCTGAGAAGTTTTCTCTCCCAATCCTATGATTCTGATGCTGAATGGGTTACATAGCTGTAGGAGATGCAGTAAAAACGCATATCGTTAATGCGTCCCCCGCCCCGTGGTCGCAAAAGGATTTCAATGGATGATGAGACTTCGCGAGGGAAATTGATCTTGCTGCCGCAATCATGGAACACTGGAGAAGAATCGGATGACGGGACAACATGATAACTAGTTGGGAAGCAGCATTAATTTCCATGTTTTATCTAAAAACCAATGAGTTGCTTTCTTCGGCGCTGATGGACGACATGTTGCCATATTTGGTTACCGTTGAGCTAGGTGAAATGCATCTGTTCTGCCTGCTTCATGATAAATATAACCCTGCATTTCCTCACATTGCTATCGAATTGATGATGGACAAAGACAAGTCTCTGTTGCAGATATGTTTAAGGGTGGTGGTGGTGGTGGTGTTGGTGTGGTGATAGTCCGATAATGTAGATTGGTGGGGTGCAAGGAGCAGGTTTATTTCAATAAAAGTGGTATTTTTGTCTTCCAGGACATAGGATATCTGAATCATCATATGTTCGTTTCAATCATCATATAATACATAAAATATTAAAGGGGCGAGAATATCCATCTACTCCCACGAGTGATCGTAAAAACATTGGAAAAGAATCCGAACGCCAGCAGCCCTGGAGGCTTGTATGTCGATGTCCTAAACGCCCACACCAATGCCTTAAAAATCTTATCCAAAGGTAAAATTATCGAGGTTTCTTGAAAGAGACGGGATGAATATATGGAGCCCTAGCCCTCCTCAACATTGGGAAGAACCTCATCCGGATCCTCCCCAACAAGCTTCACAATGCATCTCACCACCCCTCTCAAGGCCGCAGATGCAGGACTATCGGGAAAGTTATCCATGAAGCTCTCCCCGTAGTCGCAGGCCATACCCACCCTAGGGTCCAGTGGCACAGCGCCCAAGAATGGAATGCCCATTTCCTTCGCCAACCTCCCGCCACCACCGGTCGTTGCACGGAAAATCTGAGACTCATGCGTGCACTTCGGACAGACAAAGCCAGACATATTCTCCACGAGCCCCAGTATCCGAATCCCCGCCTTCCGGCAAAAATCAATCTCCTTCCTGACATCCAACAACGACATTTCCTGAGGCGTCGTAACGACCACCGCCCCATCAACGCCCGATTCCTTCAGGAACGAATTCACCGAAAGATGCTCGTCAGACGTGCCCGGCGGCGTATCAACGATTAAATAATCCAACTCACCCCATTCAACATCTTTCAAAAACTGCTTGATCAACCCATTCTTCTTCGGGCCGCGCCAGATGACCGCATCATCCCGGTTGGGCAACATGAACTGAACACTCATCACAGAGAGATTATCCGACACCCACACGGGACTCCAGCCCGCGTTGCTAACATGGATCGTCTCGGCCTCGACACCCATCATCTTCGGTATAGATGGGCCGCAGATATCCGTGTCCATGATGCCGACAGTCGAGTCGGGATTGGAGGCGAACGCCTGTGCGAGGAGGGAGGAGAAGGTCGACTTCCCCACGCCACCTTTACCGGAGAGGACAAGGAGTTTGTGTCGTATTGAGTCGAGGCGGGCGGTTATGACGGGGATGTCGGGATCGGGGCCCTTGGGGGCAGAGGCGCAGATGGTTTGGTTGGGGCAGCCGGCACAGGCATCGCCTTTGCCAGCTTGTTCGGATTCGGGACCGGGACAGTTCTCTGGATGAGACAGAGCTGTCAGGATGGATACGCAACGTATGATTGTCAACAAATCTGGGGGTTCCTTGAACATACCTGGTTCGGGAGCGACGAGCTTGGGAGGGGCTGTGGAAGAAGATGATGATGCATTGAAGACTGGAGTTGGCTCCTCTAGTAATAGAGCCATATTAACCGTGAGGTGAACCAACAACTTCCGCGGGATTTAATTATCTGGAGGGTCTAATGGGAATTTCAACCTTGCTGGTGGTTTTAAATTTTGGCTTTATTTTAATGTTTACACAGCGCCATATTCCCGATCCGATGACGATATAACTTTTTTGGTTGGTGGCGGATCGATATCTGGTAGGGGCACGGGGGGGGGTTGAATTACTAATACCTGTAGCATGTCCCGTGAATGGAAATAGCCGAGGTCTCTGCGTGTGTGAAACCTGGTAACTATTAACTAACCCAAGTTAGTTAGTTAGTTAGTTAGTTAGTTAGTTAACTTGTGCTTGAGATAGTTATACGACAATGTAACCAACCAGCTCTGGAGGAAAACAGAGCCTGCCGTCACATCACCGCTGCTTATGCACAGGGACTGAGATGCAATAAGAACCCATAGCTCAAAAGGTGATTCGGTTGTCCATTGAGAACCCATGCAGCTGCCAACGTTTTTCTCTCGAAGGGTCATTTTTAGGCGTGGTGACTAACTATATCTATCAATCGTGAGTTGACAGGAGGATGGTTATTCGCCATCAGCCTGTTTCTGAAAGTCCACCAAACACAACCACCCCCCTTTCCTGTATTGGTCCATTTGGCCGTTAAACCGGTTTCTCCATTACGGCGGTTGACCTGCAAGCAATTCATGCTCTGACCTCCGCTATCTGTGGCAATCAACAGGAACCTCACAGCCTCCTGCCCATCCCTGGCGAGATAATCCTCTAGGTGTCCCCCAAGAGTTCCCGGGCCAGAACAAAGCTGCAGCAGCGAATCTCATGGAACCCAATCCTGAATGAAACCTTGGCCAGGGCTGTAACGTTCAGGACAGGGAAACATGCAGAGCTAATTCGTAGTTTTTGGGTCAGGATCAAGCAGAATAACACGTGTGCTCGAAGACCAGTTTTGAAACTCTGTGGATAGGAGAGACAAAAACACTGCGAGATCAGGACAAGTCAGTAATGACGTTTTTCGAATTGTTGAAGCCCCCTTTGGAGGAGACCTTTCACATGCTTGACTGTAATGCAGAGAAGAGGCCTTTGCCTCTTTTTTTTTTTTTTTTTTTTTTTTTTTTTTTTTTTTTCCTGGTTCGGTGCCGTAACTAGCACTAACTAAACTGGCCCGCCCTTGAACTGAGTTAGTACACATAAACTAGTTAGTTGACTATAGTTAGTTAACTTGCTCCAATAGCTCAACCAGTTTTAACTATCGAACCAACCAACGGAAGTGTGACTCCAGGGAGCTTCATTGGAATGACCATATGCGGTGTGGTTAGTATTAGTGCACTCGGATGGAGAGCCGAAAACCCACAACATCCATTGCATCCATGAATAAATTGAACGTTTATTTTCTTTGAGATTCTATGAAAAAGAACTTAGTCAATGGGCGAGCTTTTGACTTGCGATGCTCAATGCTTCTTTCACTTAATGATAAGTATCCCTGGGGAGGAAGAGGAGACCGCAACATAGATTAACTCCCCGCGAAATGGATGTTCGCAACAACCAAGTTAAAAGTGAGCGGAACAACCGACGTTCATTTCATTCTAAGCAAGCCTCGAGCGTGATTCGCCCTCTATCTTAGCTCGCTTCCTTGTGCCTCTGCATCTCCCCACACTAAGAGAAAAAAACGTTGCGCAAATCTGGCTAGAGCTGTCGAAATAGGAACTGGAACTGCGGTTGAACAACCAGGAACATCCCATCCATGGATGGAATGGTAGGATACTTTATCATCTGATTTTCCTCGCCAGAACAGAGACTCATTGCTATGTTTGCTGGTAGAAGCTCTGATTAGCTAACTCTAAAGTTAGTTAACTAACTAGTTAGTTAATTAATTCAACGGTTGGTTGGGACCTTTGAGATAACTAGCTATTTAACTCAGAACCTTCCAAGAGGGTTGGTTGAAATCCTCGCCTTCTGTCCCCCGGGCCCGAAACAATCCGATCTCTCCGATCTCTCAACTCTTCCCAGTCAATTCAACTTAGACATAGTCTCCGGCTACTTGCGCTTCTGCATTGACCGCACCGACAGTCTACCGCTTTAACTATGAGTGGTCCGGCGTCGTCAACCGGATTCCACATCCACGCAGAGGGGCTTCATGGACGGAACGTACAGCCATCAAAACCTACAAGTGATGGAGGTGTGGCCCCCACGGCCCTGGGGGAGAAGTCACGGGTAGAAGAAGATGAGAGGACTGATTCGGAAAAGAAGACTTTTGGAAGAACTCCAGATGGCACAAGTAAGCTCTCGATTCCACTCCCCGGAGAAGGATGATTATGGCCAGTTGTTGGGAAGGTATAAAAAGGCTTCTCTAGTCCAGAGTTCGCTCTTGTATCAAACGGAGTTTAGCATGAGCATTCAGACTTCTCTCAATAGGACTGGTGGCTGTCTCGATTTATGTATCCTGCGCGAATAGAATCCTCCCGCCAATATCAACCTCCAGTTAAAAGTAGGGGTTTTGCTAATGTTCTATGACATCAAAATCCAGTCTTTACCGTTCCGCCAACCCGTGATATGGTCTCGCAGCTCCTTTCACCCTCAGAGCCAAAGAACTTGTCTGATATCTTCGTCCTCGCCATTATAAGTTGTCATATCTTCCTCCTCCGGTTTCTTCCATCATCATCATCCAGGGTCGCTGCTTTTGCTATCATTTTCCTGTTCTGGCGTGCCGCGTACAACATCGGAATCGGATGGCTTCTACACATGCAGTCAAACGGCCGGACCTTGGTCTGCTGGGCCAAAAAATCAAACATCTTCGTGAATCCGTCCACCGGACAGAACCCTCATCCCATATTATACAACCTGCTGAAATGGGAACTGGAGACAAAAATCCCGGAGCAGTACTCTTTCGAGGACGCCCCAACGGAATACAACACCTGGCTTGTGTTTCGACGAGTTGTTGATCTGATCCTCATGTGCGACTTTACCTCGTACTGCCTATTCGCAATTGCCTGCGGTGGTCGTCCCGCTGGGGAAGGTTTCATCATGCTGGCTCTGAGATGGATTGCCGGGATGAGCTTAGTACTTTTTAACCTCTGGGTCAAACTGGACGCCCATCGGGTAGTTAAGGATTTCGCATGGTACTGGGGGGATTTCTTCTATCTCATCGACCAGGACCTTACTTTCGACGGTGTGTTTGAGATGGCACCCCATCCAATGTATTCCGTTGGCTATGCGGGATATTACGGTATCTCTTTGATGGCAGCTAGCTACAAGCTGCTCTTTATTTCCATTCTAGCACATGCCGCCCAATTTGCGTTCTTGGTTCTGGTTGAAAACCCCCATATCGAGAAAACTTACAATGCTCCTCCACCTCGGAAAAGAGTCGCGGTCGACACAGATAATGTGAAACCACAAGACGACGACGTTTCTCAGGACTCCTCGGTCATCAATGACAATGTATACTCGGGACAAGCGGTGGCTACCCTAGAGCCTTCGTCGATGCATAACCTTCTAGGCCCTCACAACATCGACCTGTACCGTATCACGGACTCCTCTGTGCTTCTGATCCAAATACTCTTCTCCGCTCTGGCTATTCTTACCCCATCAACACCAGTCTATCAGTTTTTCTTCGTCCTGAATGCTGCTCTTTGGAGGGTTTGGTACTCCGTGGGTATTGGCTACATCCTCAACCGCCAATCGCACTGCAAGATGTGGACGAGACACTTTGTGAAGTACGGAGAAAGCAATCAAGAAGCCTGGCAACAATGGAAAGGCACATATCATCTTAGCATGACCATGACCTACGCAAGCTTTATTGCCGCCACTTGGAAGATGTACTCCTTCCCACAAGATTGGGGCTACGGCCTAGTGCTCCTGAGGCATATTCTAGGTGCAAGTTTGATTGCACTCCAGATTTGGACATCTGCCAGTATCTACGAATCACTTGGGGAGTTTGGATGGTTTTTCGGAGACTTCTTCTTTGATCAGTCACCAAAACTCACATATAGTGGAATTTATCGGTATCTGAACAACCCAGAACGCGTTCTAGGTTTGGCAGGTGTTTGGGGAGCGGTTCTGATCACCAGTACCAAGTCAGTCATTTTCCTAGCATTGCTGAGCCACACATTAACTATTGCATTTATTCAACTGGTCGAACGGCCACATATGCAGAAGCTCTACGGTCAAAGCCTAAGGCGAGATGCGGGTCTTGTTAGAAGCCTAAAGCGTTCCTTGCCACCGTCCCTGAAGCAATTCCATGGAAGCGTAGACAAAATACTCGATGACTCGATTGAATTCATTGAAGAGTTCATAGAAGCCGCTCGGCCTAAGCTCGCCGCTGGTGTCAAGACCTTCGTCAAAGATACCTCCGCCTTGTTCCAGAAGTACCCTGCACGAATCACCATATCTCGTCTGGAACCAGACCTCGCTGGTTACGATCAAAAGGATTATTCCATTTCCCTGGAAGGAACACAATCTTCCGAGCCGGCACAATTTGAAAGAGCTAGTGGAAAGGAGGGTGAAAAGGCACGATCCATGCCAGACAGGAGGGGTGACAAGAAGAACCTTATGTTCGAATATGGCGCCCCCATCAAAGTCAAATGGACCGCCCCGCTGAATCATAGCAAGAAAGACTGGATTGGCCTCTACATGGTCACTGATAATACATCGCGGGAGATCACACGGATATCTTCCCAAGGTCGATGGATCGGTACTAACAAGGCTTCTTTTGACTCTTTGACATGTGAGCAAGGGTTAATCTCAAGCGACATTGTTATCAATAAGTTTCGAGAGGATGGCGAGCCAAAGGACGTTGCATCTGGGGAAATGGTCTTCTCGGGCGATAAACTCTGGTGGACGCAAGGCGTCTTCGAATTTAGGTACCACCACAACGGAAAACATAGCGTCATGGCAGTCTCGCGCCCCTTCGAGATCCGCATTGGCAGATTTGACGACGATGCAATCTATGGCGACAGATACGGGCTTGTCAGGGCTGCCATCGAATCCGCTTTGCTTCCTGTGGTCCAAAACTGCTTTGACAGGGACCCCGAAATTGCACCGCAAACTGTCGAAGAACAGTACGGCAGCCTAGTTGACAGGAATGGGAAATACTCAAGGAGAGTGGTATTTGCCGTACATCAAATGTAAGTTAAACTTCTTATTCTGGAATTCATAGCTTGTATAAACAGCATTTCAAAATTCGAGTCAGGTTGCAAGCTTGTCTCTTTTATAATTTTACTGATGTTTTTCTTTTTTAGGTTCGGCATCGAATTTGCTCCCGAGGTTGTCCGTGCTGATGGAAATGTCCGCAATCTGGCATGGCGGATATGCAATGCCAAAAAGGTTTTAGTATGTATAACGGAGATTTTGCCATCCGCTCAGCAGTGGTTGCTGCATTTCCCCATGCTTAACTTTCGTAATGACTGACATTATATCCGCAATTCAGGCACCATACAGCATGTCACGTACAAACGGAGCCACAACCCCCACAGCAGAACATGAAGGTTAAACTCCACCCCCATACAAACGATAATAACGACGACTACGATGATTTGAAAATTTCTTTCACCTTTACCTAACGCACATACCGATATATCTGCATATCTCCAAGGGTTCGGTGCTCTAGGTGATAGTTCAACCCAGAACGTCAAGATTCGAAAGAAATCAAGGCGATGATATAAGGAAACTGAATGAGGAATTGAGAAAATAGAAGGGAGGCTAGAATCTCTTGCGTTCGTATATATATGCGGAAAGCATATGCTTTGTTCTTTCTTCGATTCTACTTTCACAGCATATTGTATATATCTTCTCCCGACGAGCATGAACTTTTCTCCACTGTGATGGAGCTTTTCCACATGCATACGTCTCGTTTTTCTACTGTCTATTTTCCCTATTGAGCATATGCATCTGCCCAACCAACCCGTCCGTTAATCCATCTCCCGCTTTTTTTTTTTTTTTTGGGAGTTCCCACCACCTGGCTTCGCACAACATTTTGTCTATCAGATGCAAATTTTGGAAAGATTAGCAACAGCAGCAACATCATGACGAAAGTTAAAAAGAGGTTGGAGAGGAGAATACTTAAAGAGGAGATCTATCAGGCATCCTATAGAAAATAGGAGGAAATACTCATTATAAAACTTCTGACGGTGTATATCTTTACATCTATAGATTACAATCCATATAGACCCGAGAAATAAAATTGCATTACGAGTTGATGCTTGCTTTCGAACACGAACAAGGAATATAACATTTAAAAGTTATTCAGCGAAGATTGATTAAACTAAAATCGTGTGGCAAGTAGATCTATCTAACAAGCTCCGAGTGGCCTGTTAAATTATTTTGCAGTTTGAAACATTATGTGGAAGTGAAATTGCATGAGCTCTGATCAATCAAACTGGACTTACTGCAACCTAAAATCAAGTTAGATAGGTATTCTTCCAACAAGACGGTCGACAACCCAGGACATCCCCAAGATTGAACGTCACTTGGATACGTTCAAACGGTATAAAAGAACAAACACGAAGATATGATAGGGGCATGAAAAGGGCTATTGGGATATTTTACTGTATTCAGCAAAGCCATGAACTCATCCCCTTCCCCCATCCAGACACCATCCCCAAAAGCAACAGCCCAAGACGAACCGCTACCCCAAGAGATGATGGGACGAGTAAAATAAGAAAAAACAAGGCTGAGCGCAAGGTGGGGGTTTATCAAGGCACCCCGCTTAACCTCCTCGATAACACCAGCATCTCCACAACCTATCATCCCCTTCTTTTCTGCCTTATGCTGAACAGCTCCAGTCGTAGACAAGAGAAGCCAACGCAAATGAGAAAGGAAAGGTCCGGTATAGGGGAGAGTGGGGGGATCGAAAGAGAAACTCGTTTTCTTATTGAAAGAAGGGCGCTCCGTGAGGAGACTCGTGGAATGGATTGACTTGTTGTCATCATGATGATTGGTCTTGGGTGGGGACTCGGTATTGGGAGCAAGTGATAGTTAACTAATTGGCAATGCTTACATCAGTGGTGAGCTATGCGGAAGCACGGTGGGGTAATTCTATGTTAGATTATTGATCATATCCTCTTGCTAATTGGGAACAGAGAAAACTATTTCAGACCAAAGGTTGGTTAGTTGAGTTCGTGAAAACTTCATGTTGAAAATTTGGCAGAAGGTGAGAATTTGGATCAGGATCGTTATTTTTGGTATAATGGATTTTCTTCAATAATTTTGCAGAAGCAGAACTGAATAAAGATTTCTCATCATGGTAAAAGGCAGGGAATGGAAGAGGATGGGAGTAAAGCCGAACCATTTTTAATACCTATCCTTGATAATAATACCGTACCGGCCACGTTTTCTTGAGAAACACTGAATGAAAATGATTTCTAATGTAGCTATGCTGTTAGCTATGTCCATAAAGCATAATATAGCAAGGGTCAAGCAATGCAGGGAAGGTTCAGATGGTAGTGCATGTTGTTCAATTGGCTCACGGAAGAATCGCGAACAGAATTTTGGTAGGTTTTCCTCATGAAGGTAATAAAATGCGGGAATAAGAGTTAAGGAGAAGAGACTTGCCGTAAAATCCTTGTACTTCTTGCTACATAGTTTGCTTTTCATGTCCTGCTCCCTCTGTTACGGAGATAGCTTGTGATGTAGTTGATGGTTTGTAATAGTTGAAGCATAATGAAAGAGAAGAAAAATATAACCTTGGAAAAATATGGATAAGCGAAGGGTGACGGCCAAACGTTGTTCCGCCAAGGAGCCAAACAGTGCAAACAACTAACTTTCTCGAAGCTATGGATTTTTTTGATGCGAGAAACTGGTGATGAAGATGAAGTTCAGCAGAGTTGCTTATTGCTTTTCATTGGGCGCTTTTCCTTGTTTCTGTCGATTTCATTAAGCTGGGTAATGTATAATGGCCGATAAAAGACGTATAAACGGACCGTCTGGAGATACACGACCACCAGTGTTTGCGTCATCGCTCCTCGCTTCCAACAACCGACGCTCCATAGCGCTCGAACGCCCTATCCGTTCTAGAAAGCCAGATGAGCTGAGAAAAATATGTTGGTTACAATATGTAGCATGTGATACAGGAGATTTTGTACTAATGTGTGAGAATAGTTCTGAAGACTGGTCTAATTCCATCCGCCTCCGGGTCCGCATATCTTGAATTCCAGACCTCCACAAACCTTCCCCGATCAAAATTGAAAACCCTCATTCGCCCCTCCTCATCTCTAAAAATCACCTGTGCCGTTCATGGCCCAAAGCCTCTTCCTCGTTCCGCCCCATTCTCCCCTAATCTTCTTCTTTCTACACACGTAAAATTTGCTCCGTTCGCCACCCGGCGAAGAAGGGGTTACATACGTGATGTTAACGAGAGAGATCTTGGTGTTCACCTCGAGACGGCTCTAAAGGGAGTTATCATAGGCGAAAGGTGGCCAAAAAGTGGGCTCGACATCACGGTGACGATATTAGAGGGGGAAGACGACCGATGGTGGGGTGATGATTTATCCTCCAGTCCATTGGGCGGGATAGATGGATGGGGCTTGATGAATGTTCTTGCCGGCTGTATTACTGTTGCCTCAGCAGCAATTGTTGATGCACGGATTGATTGCGTGGATCTCATTACTGGTGGAGTTGCTGCTTTTGTTGAAAATCCACACATCGAAGTTTCTGGAGAACCAGAAGAGACAAACGAAAAGGGTCGCGATCGACGATTAGTACTAGATCCAGATCCGTCCGAACACCAGGCAATCGCAGCTGCCTGTGTTGTGGGATATATGTCATCCCGCGACGAGATTACGGAACTATGGCTCAAGGGAGATACTTCGGATTTTCAAGGCGGATCGCAAAAGGGATCTCTCGGCCACGAAGCTTTGATAGATGGAGCTGTCAACGCCGCTCGAGGGACACAAGCCGTCCTTATGGAAGCTTCCAGAGAATCAGCAGAGCGTTTTGCTATGCACGCAGGAAAGCAATTTGCTCCCTCCACAGCAGATACGGAAGGTCTTGAAATACGAATATAAAATGGATTTGGAATGACATGACGATCGGTTGATGCAATAAAATGGACTAGATTTCTCTATTTCTGTTTTCCATAGAAGGCATTTAAGTTTGGCTATATATCCAGGCCAATTGCCATAAAACTCTTCTATTGAATTCTGTCCTCTTTTTCTATCTTTTTCAAGTCAAGGCGCTTCTTTATCACCTCTGGTTACAGTATCTAAGTGTCAAGCGCAGATGTATACATGTATCCAGGCTGACTGCAGCTTGAGCTTAAAAGAACATTCCTTTAAGTGACTGTGATTCTTTATCACAGTTATCTGTATTTGTGATTTGGATCGTTCAATCCCTTCATCAGTCTATCATCTGAGTGATTTTGCTGCAATGTGTCCACTCATCAGACTCTTTTTATTGTTTCCATGTCATCTACAAGACTCATACTTTTCACTTCATCTCATATTCTCTTTCTTTCATACTCATCCTGTCGCTCTGTTGTTCCACTGCCCAATTCCATATCTGGTGGTAAAGGCCCAATTCGAACAGGCGACTGAAATAAGGGAGAATTAGAAGTTATCCTTCTCAAACAGCTTCCAAACTTATCTTCTCACAAGAGAGCTTATCCAGGTATGCCTTCCAAAACCCAGGCCGATGTGAACCTGTGGTTCTTATATATCTGTCTTCAGAAATCAGACTATAAGACCGTGAGTTCTGTTTCCTCCGCTGAACAAATTACCTCCAGCAACTCCTAAGCGTCTGGGGAGCATTGGGAATATCTCCTGTCCTCCCCCCCCACCCAAGATTCTACACTCAAAGTTCCTTTCTATATGAGCTGGTTACTGATAAAAGCAATGCCCGTGACAGATCGATTTCAACGCCGTGGGAGAGGCAGCCAATTTGAACCCTCCTGCTGCTCGCATGCGCTTCTCCCGTCTCAGGAAGGCAATCGAGAGCTGTGCAATTAACGCAACATCCGCTGAAACGACAAGCGCATCTGCTAGCATCGAAGAAAAATCCAAACAGCAGTACAAAGCTCGTCAGTCGAAACCCCAAGAGGTCACAGTAAAAAAAGAAGAACCCCTGTCGCCACCAGGTAATTCGATAAAAGAGGCAGTAATACCTAACGTCGAGATGGGGGTGAAATGTGACATGGTGAAGCTTTTCGACCAGAATGAGTATGAAGCCAATTACGGGGACTTAGATGATGAAGACGTCCCTTTAGCTATAAAACGCAAGGCTTCTCAGTGTAATGCATCCAGGAAAAGGCAGAAGCCGACGAATGTCTCTTCTATGACAGAAATCAAAAATGAACCAGCCTCGAGCGATGGAAACATCGCACTTTTCTATCACACTGCCACAGATACTCATTTTCCGGACGGAATTGACGGATCGAGCAATATGGCGAAAAGCGAAGGTACCGTGGAATTGGTACACAATTTCCATACAGATTCCAGTGAAGAAACTTCGGATTCCCGCCAACGCGGAATCCCTTTCAGGACGCTTGCCCCTCCCCCCCTTAACACGACCCTTCAAGCCAGAATTCCTGACTATGTATCCACCTCCAATAACAACAAGCTTGCAATAAGTGACGGTTCTCAGGAAACCCGAGATTCTCAGCATGAGCAGACGAAGCATGACGTTTCCTTCGACTCATATTTGTGCCCATTGCCATACAGATCAACTCAAATGACCCACCCATGCAATACAGTTCCCCTTGCACGCCCATTTACTTCTACACTTGGCGATATCCTTTCTCCAGGCATTGGCGGAACCAATGCTCCCACCTGGTCGAGGTACCAGATTCCGACTATCACCATCACCGACACGGATCCGTACGGACTTCGCAACCCCCTGTTTCCGAACAGCACGAATGCGTTGGATGCGGTCCAAGCAAGTATCAATGGAGCGCTGTTCAGCCCGGGCTCCAACGCCTTTGCCCCTAGATATGGCAGCGCCAATAGAAATGATAATCCACGCACATAACGTTGTCAGAGCGATGGGAGTGGAATGATTTTGATCTGTCTTTGTCTTGCGCGTCTTCGCCCTAGAGGTTCAGCGGATGTCGTTCGCTCGCGACACGTTATTTGGTCTTCATATCGGCATCGAGTTGCAACAATACAAACCCCCAAAATTCCGGATGGAGGAACGGATGCACAAACTGATGAAGAAATATTTAACGACGTGAAAATTTCCGCATGGGTTTAGATGAAGTGTGGAAAGCTCTGAGGGGCCGTTTGAAGCTATTGTTTCTATTGATCTTCTGTGAGAGTCAAGGAGATGGGCAGTTAGATAAAGCTGATCCTAACTACTATCTCGTCACCGAATTTGTGTGTTTTTCAAAATTTCCCGACGAACTTGTTAGATTTCCCATTTAAGTACAGATACCAACTGGTATGAACCGATGACCGATATAATAAATGCATAATTAACATTATTGATGTCCGGAAGTTGTCTTGTCATCTACATGTAATGGGTAACTAACTACCCCATGTGGGACTAGTAAACACTATTTGGTGCTCTAATTACCCCAGTGTCAGCAATTGAACCTTGGATATATTTCTCCGTACAGTGTAGGCAAACGATCAAGGATAACATGTCGGATGTGTCTTGAGATCCTACATGGACGTTCACATATATTCAGCAATAAACTGGCAGAACAAGCAGCCCATTTTGAAATGCGTTCGTTCCTGTTACCGAGCATGCACCCCACACTGGATATTTTTGGGTCTGGAACATTTCTATTCTGCCCAGCAGCAGAATGGGATTTCCATCATTGAGGCCAGGAGGGGATGTATGAAGCGCCAAACCAACTGGACGCTTGCGCAAATGAGCGCGGTAACCTCGACTCCCTTCTGTTCGTTCGGAAACGGTGCAGCATTGGTATCCATGTGAAACAAAAAAATAAAATAAAATAAGTGATTATGAGATAGCTCTTCTCAGAAACCGAAGACCCTATCAGTTAGTCAACTAAAGGGAGCAGAGGAAGAGGGAAGAGAGCTTTGCCGAGCCGCATAAAATGATTCCTCGCAGGGTCTTAGGCCCTTAACAGTTAGTGATGGCTTCATAGCTTCATGACGTTGTAAAGACCATCCAGTTCTGCGATCCCAGACGAATCTCGGGGGGAGGGGAACTTCAATCGCTAGCACAGTCATTGTCGCAAGGTTCTTTACTCAAACTTCCTATCAGACAGCCGGAAGATAGGAGGAAATGGGAGAAGACCGATAATGTTGCGTCTGATCTCCGCTGCTTCACCTCGTGTCCATCAAACCCCAGCATCAATCCCAGGCGAAAAAGACCCTGGACAACAAGGATCAGGGATACAGCATCAAGCTTTGGAGGTCCTAAATCGACAACTACTACTATTGAGCAAGGACCTCTGATATAACTATATACTCTTTAGCAATATGGAGAGTTAGGCGATATATATGCGAAGAAGAGAAAAGGGAAAGCAGTGGAAGTCGGTATGGGACGACCTCTCACAACCAACAGCAAGCAAGTGATTTCTGCAGCGCAAATCTCGGTCGTAGCTGTGAGACATGTTGCGTCGGTCATTTTGAGACAAGAACAGCGCCCACATGGACGGCTGAATGCACGTACGTGTGCTGAAGATCTATCTCCAGAGCCTGACTAGTGACCCAATCAAGGTGGCCTGGCGCAACATAAATATCAGAGACATCGCAGATCAGCCTGAACTCGAACAACCCCAGGAACTATGTACGTCGGGAGGTAACTATATATTGTACTAGAGATACATTACTCCGGACATTACACCGGAATATGGAAAAATTCTCGATATACACATATAAACAATGACAACACCAAGAGATGCATTGGATACGGAAACCGCACGAGAAATTCTCGAGGACCACAACGCAAGCCGTGAGTTCGTCGAATGTTGAAAGCCCCACGATATCACGGGCACACAGTTGAACGTGATTTTAAAATTCAGCCGAAAAAAACCTTCCGACTTGGTTTATGTTATAATCAACCCCCTCCCCCCATATTAAAGCTACATACATTAGTCAAACCTCAACAGCAGCCAGCAGTGATGTTATATTCTTAACTAACCCTAATCTAATCTACCCTAATCTTGGTGTTGAGGGCGGGGGTTGAATAGAGGATTGTATTTGTGTTGTATGTGCAGAGTGCGTAGACTGTTTAAATATGTTAATTAGATCATACGTTCAAACGAAAACCCCTATTATTCCACCCCCCTTTTTGATATGTTGTGCAAGCTCTCTCCTGGAGATGTGATTTGTGACAATCTAACTTTCTAGTGTGGGATTTAGGTTTCAACGGAATGTGATAAATTTTCTGCACGGCGCTCAGCAATCCGCTCTGGAATCGCTTTTCTCCGGGAGGCGGCGGTGGAAATCATCAATCACTTTATGGTAGACTACCCTGGTCACCTCACACCAATTCTACATCGGAAAATCACAAAGTCGACGATGACAGACTTCGATGGTAGATGCACCTACTCCGTACACAGTACGGGGCAGTCGTACGGAGCAGACCGTCCAATAATTTTGATTCTCCGGAACTAATGAACGAACCGGGAAAAGAGGGTTAATATGGTGAACATCATTCAGATCTTCACGCCCGACTCTGCCAATCGGATTACTGGCGGACATTCTATTTGCATGATATTTCCTAGTCGTGGGGCCATGCCCCATCAGACGCGGCTCAGACCGTCACACTGGTTGAACGAAAATCTGCGAAGCCGCCTTCATTGGGGGCCCAACGTTGGTGCCGTTTCTCTGGCCGCTGATGAGCTTCAACTCCACTGAAGGGAGCAGCCCAATCCCATAACTCATGCTCCAGGCTCCAGTAGGCTCTTAGTTGGAGAGTAGGGACTCTGGGCCTCCTGTGCATTGGGCACTGTGTTCAAATTCCCGCTGAAAACGTCTCGTGCTGAACGTGCCAACAATTGGCGATTCAGCTTGATGATTCAACTCCCCTAAAAGAGTCGGAACTATTTTCAATTCGCTAGCGATTCCTGCAAGCCCTTCCAAAGTCCAAGTCCCTAATATTTGAAGGCCAAGAAGCTTGAGCCAGGACTCTCTCGTGCTACCACGCCTACCAATCCCACGCATGAATTTTAATAACCAACCTTCTCCCCCATTATGAAGGAGCAAGGTCCCAGTTTTCCTCTGAGAAACGAGGTTTCCGTTTGTTTCGTCCATTTATTCTTTTCTTCTTTTCCCTGACCCTCTTCTACCCTGACCGCCCGATGCTTTCTCCGTCCTATATTTTCTCGCTCTTCTTACATATTCCGGTTTCAGGGCTGCTCTAAAACAAGAAAAAGAGCAAGCTTCCCACTACCAATCCCCATACACGTGCTCTTAACCATTTTTCAAGTTTTAACCAACGTGTATCTAAATGACCTTCTGATAAGGCTTGTACGATGAGCCGGTTGACGAGGTCTCCTCCTGGTTCGCGCCATTGACCCAACTCTCAGCTTCACGAACGTCCAACTAAAAAAAAAAAAATAAATAAATAAATAAATAAATAAAGGAAAAACATAAAAAATAAAAATAAAATAAAATGGCGAGCCTAAGAAAGTTATTTAATGTCGAGAAAACATTGCTTCAGGGGACAAGTCCCGAATTGATCGAGAAAGATGCGAACGGACTGTCGAGCGATGATTTTCCCCCATGTCGTGTCTTGTCCAGCAGGTCCCCTGAAACCAACCTCCCACGACTCCCGCACATGCAAAACCAAACTTTTTACGGGATTGAGAAACAATTTGAAGACCTACATGATCAGTTTCGCCGCCGCCCATCACGAGCCCTGCAAAACAAACGATTTAGGAACCTCGAATCGAAGCTATTTCCCTACGGCAACCGGCGCCATGTCGATGTTGTAGAAGCCAGCTTCCCGGTCCAACATGCCAGGGTTCCAACCCCGATATCTCCAGCGAGTATGTACAACGAGGAAATTGCCGACCGCAACATTCAGAGTCAAGGGATCGATAAGGCGGTGACAAAATATGCGAATGTTATTTCAGCGGTATATCAGGAAGACATCGCGGACCGAAATATCCTACTTAGCGGAGGAAATGCGCGTGCACGCTGGACAAGAAAGGTTGGAGTGAGATCGCAATTCACTCTGAATAATGGGAGATCATCGTCATCCCTTTCCTACTACTGGGATGGAAGGCCAAGGTTGTGGTCCAGGACAAATGCGACGGGGTATGAAACATCACCGGCGGAGGGGAATAGAGAATTGAGAGTCATATCTTCTGATCAGGACCTCCGAACTCATCCTCTCTCCTACACACCAGAAAATATTGGCAGTAGTCCAACATGCAGAATGGGGGTTAGACAGTATATCGCTCTGCGATTGAGGACCTCTTCGCCGGCATTTTCCGCCAAATGGCAGGAGAGTAATAATTCTCCAGAACCAGTAAAAGCTTCCAACATTTCTCCTGATCTCCTCCCATCTGCAAGAGATGCTTGGAAATCACCCAGGACAGTCGAGAACTCCAGCAATCCACTGAAACTCGAAGTTAAAAAACCTAGGACGATTTCTGCAGATAGACCTCCACTCAAACTTTGCGCCACCAAGCATGCATCCAGCCGCTTATTATCCCCGACCGCAGCTAGACTATCTGGAAGGAAAAACGTTCGTGACCTTTCAATTAATACAAAACTCGCTGCCCCGGTCAAGACTTTTGTCAAAGTATCTGGCCAACCACCCGATATGACGGTGCCAACACCTAGACGCGAACCAAGCGCAAGCCTTGCAGAGATCGTGAACAGCCCACTCCAAGTAGCAACTCCATCAGCGATATCTCCAAAGGCCCCGAGCTATAATGTTGAGGAAATTATGAGTATGTTTAAGCAGGCGTACATGTCATCATCACAAGAGACCCGCTCACGTCCTACATTTGAAACTTTACATGATGCTATTGTTCGTGAGATCAATTCTCACGAAGCTTTTCGTCAAGTCGCTTCCGAGATTGAAACAATGCCGTTTCCAGA